TTTTTTTTTTTTGGCTATTTCTTAAACTCCACCACCCTTCGTTGTGTTTTTCTAATGAATTTCAATTAAAAGAATATCAGTACCTTTGTTAAGAGTCAAACACGATTTTATGCATTTATATATTTTCTGGTATCCTAAAGACAATGACTCAATAAATGTTGGATAACTGAAGGAATGAAGGAATCTAGGAAAGAATAGCCCTGGATAGAGAAAACAGAAAATCTTTAAAATCTTCTAAGAAATGGATATACATTGGAAAAAAATTTTAATATTTTAAGATCAGATTGTTGTCATGACACTTTTCAAATGCAAATAATAACTATATTGTATTGAATTTATGGTCAACCAAGAATTTACTAGCCAAGCCTTAGCAATTTTTGAGCATGAAGGAGTATCAACTCAATATATTTTTCTACTATTACTTTTTCAGATAATGTTAACTGCATATGATGAAAAACTTACATTTTTAAAGATATCCCAAGGGGATTTTATTTTGCCTATTCAAATTATTATGCTAATTATTACTTAAAGTAGCTGAAATAAATATTCCTAATATGGACATGGTTAAACTTGAACAGAGTAAATTCTATGCCATTTTAAAAAATAAAATATCAGATTAATTTTTAAGAACACTTTAATTTCATGTTTATCATTTATGTAAATTTCCTTTGATGTTCAAAACCGCAAATGCTTCGTGTTTTTTCTCCTCATGGAATGACTACATTAATATATGAATGTTGTTTAAGAAGTGAGCAGAAAACTGAAACTATAAATAAAATGAGAACATATTCATAAAACGTCCTTTACTGGTTGGCAAAATCTTGAAGATTCCTAAGTATTCCTTAATCCTTTGACAAGTTGATAGCAGATCCTAAAGTCATAAGTACTCTGCTAAATGATATTATTAAAAGTTTATTTAAAATTTTATGCCATCTGTTTTTATAAAAGCTAAAAATGTTGTTCTTGAAGTAAACAACTTGAGGACAATTCAGATTCTACCAGGGAAAACAAATGTGAAACAATCCTCAAACTAAAATGTCTGCCTAAATTCCCCAAGCAAGGTCTGTCCCATCGTTCTACCCACATTCCAAATACAAACGAAGACTGGTATTCCAAAATACAGACACCACGATGTGTCTAATTACTCAACAATCATCTACTGAACACCTGGTATATGCCGGGCACTATTCCAGGGTCCCAGAATACGGCATCCAACAGGAAAAATGTCCCACATGTATTTCAGTTTATATTAGCAAACAGCTAAATAACAGGGAATAACATAAGATACGAGACTTTCAAGTAATGATAAATGGTATCAAGGAAAACAGATGAAGGTCAGAGAATTGGTAGTGACCTGGAGTGGGAAGGAGTGTAGTCATAGAAGGACCCCGAAAGAGGCATTGAGCAGAGACCTGTATGATATGAAGGAGCCAGTCATGCAAAGCGCTGAGGCAGGAGTCTTCTGAGCAGACAAAACAGTGAGAGCCAGGCTCTGATGCAGGAATGAACGTGGAACATTTGAAGAAGGACAAAAAGACCAACATGGTTGCAACAGAAAAAGTTGAAGTAGAAGACTATAGAAAGAGTAGAAGAGTGGCAGGAAATGGGGTTAGGCAAAGGGCATATAAATTGGATATGTAGATATGGTTAGAAATTTAATATTGTATAAGTGTGTCTGAGTGTTGTCGGCAGGTTTTGACTAGGAAAGTGATATAATATGTGTATTTACGATTTATGTATTTAAAAGATGAGTCAAGCTGTGGGAGGGGATGTAAGCCGGAACAGTGAGGCAGTTACAATAGTCCAGGGAATAGATAATGGGGCTTTCAAAATCCTAGGAAATTTTAAGTGTGAAGCTAGCAGGACTTCCTTGTGGATTTAATGTGAGATGAGAGACAAGGGGAAAAGATGTTTTATCCAATTTAGATGTATTTGTTTCACTTTCCCACTAGTTCATGTTCTCATGGAAGTAAAGGCTAAGACTCAATGCTGTACAAGCTCTACTAAAGGTTTTCAGGTACCAAAATCAAATCTGAATTCTAACTACTGTGTCCTTTGTAAATAATCCATGCCATAATTCTGAGTGCTAACTTTTTTCTGCTACAGGATATATCCAATTATCTTTGGTAGTATAGAATGGGTTCTCAAAATTGAATTTCGTTCAGGTCACATTAATTTGGGGTTACTTTCCCAAATTTGTACAGTTAAAGGTATCATGAAATCATAGAACGCAAGACAGTGTCTCTATAAAAAAAAAAAAAAAAAAAAAAAAAAAAAAAAAAAAAAAAGAAGAAAGAAAAATCTCTCTAAGTCTGTTTTCTCCTTCCTAATCTACCTTGGTATGAAATTGTATTAGTAGTCATTAAAAGTGATAATAATATTCTATTTCAGATGTATTTCAGGTAGGTCATTAAAGCCTCAATTAAGCCTAAAAATAGTATTAAAAAATGCAGTGGATGAATTTTGTGCTAGAATTAAAAAGGAGCCTTATAGTCCATAGTCTTTGTGGAATTTAATCAACTGCACAGCAAGAGTTTCTATCCAGATGTAAGATTCTATCCAGATGTGTTCAGGGCACTCCACGAGGCCTTTGCCAGCTCAGTGGTGATGGTTTTAGTCTTTCTCAATCGCAAGATTAAATCAGAGATTAAACACTGCACATTATTCAACAGAAATTCTTATAGGCTCCTTTTTTGGCACTGAAAGTATACGTTTAATTACCATTTTGTAGAGCTGTACAAGCTCGATCATGGTCACATACTCTCCTGCGAGTTAGAACCCAAGACTAAAATGCAACCTTCCTGATTGGAACTTTTAAGAAATAATACCTATGCCTTAAATAATTCATAGGAAATCTTCTTACAAAAATAATGGCCCCTTCCTGATAATGACTAAGCTTTGAAAACTTTTTTTATCCTGCCCTTTTAAAATCAATGTGTGACAACACCAGAACTCCAAAAGGAAAGGAAGTAGGACTGTATATGAGTATGGGAAATAAGGATGCTTTTGTTAAAAAAAAAAAAAAAAAAAAAAAAAAAAAAAAAAAAAAAAAAAAAAAAGAAAAAAAGTAGGTTTCAAGTTTAAACGTGTTTCTTTTACCCTTTTATTTTCTTCACCGATGACTGTTTTTTCCAGAACACTAAAGATGAATAATGCATGTTCTTCTTGGTACATATAGACTGTAAGGTTGGCTCAGGGTGTTGCATCATTTGGACTCACATCCCACCCAGCCTTTTGACTGAAGGAAGGATGCTATGACATCACTAGGTGCATTGAAAATGGAACTATTTCACACTCATGTTCACCCAAAGCACACCAGTGAAAACAGATCCTTTAGTGCCTTTGCTGAGGAGCTGAGCGGAACCCGCTGCTGACTGTTGGAGAGAGAAGCGCCTCTTGTTTTTATTTCTTAATGAGGTATTCCAAAATGAAGGGGTTTACATGAAGGGGTTTGCATAACTCACATAAGTCTGCAAGTCCCATTTCAAAAGAAAAACAAAAACCAATGGTTTGCGGTTCTATCGAATCAAGGAATGATGTTCTGTAAATGTGCTAACAGTCCTAGATAATGCTGCTACAAGGGCGCACTCATGCTTGTGAACCCTGGGCCAGAAAGACAGCAGGTTGTTCCCAGCACTGATGAGCTATGTGCCCAAGAAAGAAGCTGCACCAGCCCTTCCTGGTGGACCCAGCCTCCTGGCTGCCTAACAAAGCTGCCTGACCCGGCTGCAGCTTGGGAGGAGCTCCCGGTGCAGACATGCTGCTCATCCCGGCCGAAAGAGAGGACGCTGTTCAGGGACAAGTTGGGGAGAGCTTGGATCTAACACTGGCTGGGGAAAACTAAGGGGGAAAAAGCCCTATTTTATTCTTTTAATACAGTTCCCAGCAGGAAGATCAGGATAGGAGGTTCCCGCCTGCTCCAGATTAAAGGAACCCGCAGTTTCCAGGTGAAGAAGGGGGGTTCCTTGTCCAGCATTCGCCGAGTCGGCAGCTTAAAGAGCAGCAAGTTATCACGGCAGGACTCAGAGTCCGAGGCTCAGGAGCTGCAGCTGTCCCAGAGCAGGGACACTGTCACTGACCTAGGTAACATAGAGGAGTGGGGTGCGCAGGGACGTGGGGGGTAGGAAGACAGGGCCCAAATCCTGAAATAGTTGTAGCCCGTTTTCTTACACATCAGGAGCTGAAGAGCAGAGCCACAGGCTAGACCACTCATTCAGTCTGAAAACCATGCCACCCTTTAGAGCAGGGCTGCTCGAACCTTAACGTGCACACGGGTCACCTGCAAGGCTTGTTAAAATGCAGATTCTAATTCAGCAGGTCTCGGGTAGGAACCGTTGACAAGTTTTCTGGTGAAGCTAATGCTGCTGGTTCAGGAACCACAGTTTGAGCAGTGAGGATATACAGTATACGTTAGGGGAAGAAAACACTTTAATGGCAGGACAGATTTTTGAAATCCAGATGTTTGCACTTCCGTTCTGATCAGGACCTTGAAAGCAAAATGTAGAAAATCCTTTGGGGGCAGCTAGCTAAAGTTCTTCTGTATGTTAAAGCGTCTATTTCACAGAAAAAAAAAAAAAAAATATATATATATATATATATATATATCTCAGATTATATATCAGAGGGGGAAGACTGTCTAGACCTGACAGTGAGTGACCTTCAGCAAGTCAGTTAGCATCTCAGGGATTTGTTTTCTCCAACTGTGCAGTGGGAATAATTCTATGCCCCCCTCGCCTACTCTGAGGGGACATTTTAAAGATAAACTAAGGGATGATTGTAAAGTATGAGCATGAGCTCTGAATACAATCAAAGGACTAGAGATGAAGTTTGTCACTGTAGGATCCAAAGAGACTTTTGAACTCCAAAATGTGCGAGTCCAATGAGCCTGATGATCATCTTACTAACAAGAAAAGAGTGAGCAAGTATGCAGATAAGACTCACCAGCTGCCTGGAATTTAGCTATCAGGTAAAAGTTAAAGCACATTTTCTTTGCCATTCAGTCCCGTGAGAAGCAAAACAGAAAGTTCCCCATTCTAGGCAAGTTGTTTCAGAAGTCAGTCAGGATATGTGGATGAATTGTCAATCAAGTCTACTGAAATAGAAGCTGAGTGTATCTAATTAAAGAGAGTCTAAATAGGAATTGTTTCTATACCTATCCACCCTCACCTTTGAAGATAGCTAATTTATGCATTAGTTAAGATTTGGCTTATTTTTTTAAGGAGACAATAGAAAAAAAAACAAACCTGTGACTTCTTTTGTTACGGGTCTGAGGTTGTAAGAATGTCACCAATTAGTTTTGGGGGAAAAATATTTCAATTAATTACTTGAATTCATTGACTTAGCCTGACCAGCTGGATCAAAATAGGCAGGCTAGAGGCATGGTTTCATCATAGAAATGACCCAGAAAAGCTTTTAGATTTGAGAGCGAAGCTTTCTTGTGTGGTCTACTATGTAGTGAATTCCTGAGAAATGTCTCCATATTTTTCCACAGAGAAGAGTTTGGACAAAAGGATTACCCATGATTGGCCACAATGGCTTACAAATTCCCTTAGTTTTTTTGAGGCACCGTCCATTTTTGAAGTAGCTGTAACAGCAAAGCCAGGTGGTACCAAGAGCAGTGGCACTAGACGTAGTCACAGCAGCAGAGGAGACAGCAGCACACTATATGGCCACTGCAGGTTGCTTGGTGTCCCTCTGTAACTACACCTGCAAGGTCTGGGCAGTCTGGAATGGATTTGGGCACACTCAACCGATAGCTTGCTCATCTCAGCAATTCAAGGACTTGACTCTGTTTCTTCCCTGCTCCCATGTCTCAAAATGGAAGCCATCACAACAGAGATCATAAATGTCTTTGCAATTGCCTGTTCAGCTGGTGGTGAAGGGAACAGCTCCTATTAACATTCCTCCACTAAAGTCAAGGCTATGCCCTGTTAACCCACTGGGCCACAGTAGTCTGCCCTAGGATTCAAAAGCATGGACAACTCTACCATACCAATATGCTCTCCATAGAGACTGAACAATATAACGTTTCTTGGCATTTTTCTTTTGAAGAAGGGAGTCCTTGGAGTGCAAGTGAGCCCAGCATCGAGCCAGAGGGAATGAGTACTGCTGGCACAGAGGAAAATTACCACAGGAGCATGTCATGGCTTCACGTAAGTAGGAATCTCAGAGACAGACCTGAGATCAATTTCCTTTGGTATTGAGAAAGATCTATGGAGTGAGGACAAAAGATTACACTAAAACTATCAATCTAATTTAACTTCCAAGAAAAACCATAGGAACCTCTGAATTCTCACTAGGGTTGGTATTCTATTGGACTGTGTTCCATTTTAAGTTTAACAAAAACCAAAGGTTCTTTGTTATGGCTGGCTTGTAGGTCAACGTAAGTCAGGGAAAATCCTGAGGGACCAGACCAGGCTGGTGACCAAGACAGCCTGGGTACCACAGACAAGGCATCACCATCAGTTTGATACAGGTTACCACAAATGCTGCGAGCAAGGTTATGGTGTCAGTCTTGTGTCTGTATAGATCTAACTGTAAACCAGGACGTGGAGAATCTAAGATGATAAAGGTCACACCTCAAAGGTTTCTTCAGAGGTCATAGGCGGGGCGGGGGGGGGGGGGCGGATTTCAAGAAAGCTTTGGGCATGGATTAGAGAGTTCAAGGTTTGAGCTGGCCATGAGAAAGAATGAGAAAGGTAAGGAAGCATAACATCAGATCCACACCTGGTGGGATACTTCCTGCACTGTCAGTGATCTTATATGGACTGTACCCTCTGTGATTTTAATCTGACTTCCTGGTAGAGTCAGATAAGGGCTGGCCGGTACATGATGCTCCTCAGTTTACAGTGCTGTGCCATCACAACTGGCTGAGCCCCAGAAATGTTTGCAAGTGATCCCCAGAACCTAATTTTCAAGACTCTCTGAGGCAGCTGTTTTTAAAGTAAACTCTTTAGTGAAGTCCAATGTACATGTTGAAAAGCATAGAAAACCTATGTGTGCAGCTCAATAAATTTTCACAAAGTGACTATCTGTGTAACCACCTGCAGGTCAAGAACATGGTCCCACTCTAGAAGCTCTAAACATGCCCTCTACCAGTCACCCCCCCTCCCCTAATAGTAACCACCAGCCTAATTTCTGTCACCATAGATTAGTTCTGTCTGTTTTTGAAATGCATATAATTGGCTTTATATGTCACGTACCCTGTCATTTTATGGTTTGGTTGGTTCATATAAGGGTAAATCTTGCATCTTTGTTCTTCCTCAAGATGGCTTGTTCTATTCTTGGCTATAGTCATTTCCAGTTAAAATCACCTATTAATTTCTATTAAAAAGCTTTCAAAACAGCCTTATATTGAATATAAAAATCATTTAAAATTGAGGAATTGAAATATTTACTCAGTGAATCTTCTATATAAAGTGGTCTATCTCTCAGTTTATGTCCTACCTCTTAAATTTCCTTCAGTAATGCTTTTAGTTTTCTGTGAAGTATTTGTGTTAGACCAGTGTTATTTCTTCTTTAAGTAGAAACTTAGATCTAAACATTTTTTTGTGGGAAGGTTTTTAATTACAAATTCAACTTATATAATATGATTTTTTATTTCTTCTGGGAGCAGTTTGGGCACTTTTTTCCCCTAGGAATTTGTTAATTTAATCCAAATATTTACATTTATTAGCAAGGTTTTTATAGTATTTTCTTTTTTTTTTTTTTAATTTTTTTTTTCAACGTTTATTTATTTTTGGGACAGAGAGAGACAGAGCATGAACGGGGGAGGAGCAGAGAGAGAGGGAGACACAGAATCGGAAACAGGCTCCAGGCTCTGAGCCATCAGCCCAGAGCCTGATGCGGGGCTCGAACTCACGGACCGTGAGATCGTGACCTGGCTGAAGTCGGACGCTTAACCGACTGCGCCACCGAGGCGCCCCTATAGTATTTTCTTAAAGTCCTTTTAAATTCTATAGGATCTACAATGATGTAACTTTATTGTTTCTAATGTTGGTAGGTTATACCTTTTCTTTCTTTCTTTCTTTCTTTCTTTCTTTCTTTCTTTCTTTCTTTCTTTCTTTCTTTCTTTCTTTCTCTCTCTCTCTCTCTCTCTCTCTCTCTCTCTTCAGTCTTGCCAGAAGTATGTCAGTTTTATTAACCAGAAAATCAGCTTTTAGTTTTGTCATTTGGGGAATGTCTGAGTTGTGTTTCACTAATTCCTCCTATTTACTATTTCCTTCTACTTTCTTTCAGGTTAACGTGTTTTGATTCCTTAGCTTCTTGATATAGATACTTAGATAATTGATCTCCAACCACTTCACTAAATAGTCATTTAAAACAATAAATGTTCCTTAGGAACAGCTTTAGCTCTATCATGCAAGATTCAATATATCATATGTTCATTATCATTCAGTTAAAATATTTTTAATTTTTATTTGAATCATGCACACTTGAAGTCCATGACTGATAACTCCAATATGTGAATCTACTGTCTTCTCTTGGTCTGTTCCTTAATATGCCTAGTGATTTCATTGACTGCCAGTTTGCCAGTTATGGTGGGTGAAAAATTATAGAAGCACAGTGATAGATACATGCCATTATAGATCTGTCAAAACCCACAGAATGTACAACACCAAGAGTGAATCTTAATGTAAACTAGGCACTTTGGATGATAGTGATGTGTCAGTGTAGATTCATTGATTATAATAAACATTCAGCCTGGTGGGAGATGATGATCATGAAGTCCACTCTGCATGTGTCGAGGCAGCAGGTGTTTGGGAACTCTCTGTACATTCTGCTAAATTTATTGCTGTGAACCTAAAACTGCTTTAAAATAAAGTTTATTAATTTTAAAAAGCTATAGAATTATAGAGGTTCCAGATGATGCTGTCTCCCTCCAGAGAGCTTCACCCTATACTTTGACAGACAGCAAAGATCACCTGAGTGCAATCAAGGACTAAGTGGACTTGACTTGTAGTGGTGCTCTCCCCCTTGCCCCACTCTCCAACACATACCTCCTAGTATCAAGTATTCCAATGTGAGTCTGGTGTGTGTCCTATAACTAACTCCGGTCTTGACGGGTCAGAAATTCCAACTTTGCTTCCCTATTACAGTGACACTGCTAAAATCTCCATACTGCTTGTCAGCTGGTTCCTGCTTAGCTTCTTAGCTATTCAATCAACAAATGCCTAGAAGGAAAATAGTCACCCAGCACCAAGACTACCTTCTCTACGGATCTTGTCCACTCAATTCTTCTTCCTTTTGGCAATTCTGAACTCCAGTTTTTATCTCCCAGCTCTTGTGAAATTGCCTAAAGCTTTGCCTGGCTTCTTGGCCACTTATGCCTGAAGGAAAATGTGGCATGTGCCCATATTGTGCTCACCTCAGTAAATGCCCTTTCCACATCTTGCCTTTCAGGTCCTGACTGCCTCACTGTATTAAATGCAATCTCAGGCATTCAAATATATATATTCAAATATATGTATTAATATGTGTGTGTGTGTGTGCGTGTGTGTGTGTGTGTTAAATAACACACAGTTATTAGCTTATAGTTTCTATGGGCCAGGAATCCTGGCACAGTTTAGCTGGGTCCTCTGCTTCATGCTCTCTCACAAGATTGCAATCAAAGTATTGGCCAGGAGTGGGGTCTTATCTGAAGGCTTCACTGGGAAAGAGTTTGTTTCCAAGCCCACACGATTATTGGTAGAATTTCAGTTACTAAAGGACTGTTTCATTGAAGGCCTCAGTTCCCACCTGGCTGTTGGCCAAAGACCACCCTCATTCCTTGCCATATGAACCTTTCCAACATGGCAACTTGCTCTGTCAAAGCCAGTAAAGGAGAGTCTGGTAACGAGAGACAAGTCACTATTTTACACAATCTAATTACAGAAGTAACATCTGATCCTCTTTGCTACATTCTGTTGGTTAGAAGCAAGTCACTAGGCCAGCCCATACTCCACAGGAGGAGGTTTCACAAAGGCACTAATACCAGAAGGTGGGATCCTTGGGGACTACCTTAGAAATATATCTATCAAAAAGACATCCCTGAGCATAATTTTCAAACTACAGATTTCTAGGTCACCTCCTAGAAATTCTATACTGAATCAGAATCTCCTAAGCAAAAGTCCATTTGTGTGTTTATTTGGTTTTTGTTGTTGTTGCTTGAATTTCTTGGTATTTCTCTTTAACAGCCAGATTTGAGAATAACAAGGGGAACCTTACAATTCTTATATGTGCCCTGCTTTGTACCAGTATAAACAGGAATATCAGGAGTGTTAAGTGAATCTCGAGAGAAATCTGGATATTCTGTTCAGGCAACACCTATTTTTTTTTTAACTTTGAGGAATGTGAGATATTGTTATCTGAGTTTGAGTAAGCAGGGCCGCTCATTCCTGAGGAAATGTGTGGCAGCCCTACCTGGTAGGTTTGATTGGCCTTGTCCATATGGACTTACTTAATATTCTCCAACCCATATGGCACATGGTCTCTCACAGGTTAGGTGTTGGGGCGGGAACTGGTTTTATGAAGGATAGAAGCATTCGGAAGATTACTCTATGCATATTTAACTAGCCTTGTGCACGTAGGAATGCTATTGCCTTTTTAGAAAGGCAACTTAAGAAGTTACAAACTCAGAGACCTTTGTTCCTTATCTTAATATAACCATATCCTTTAAAACAACTGAGTTCTTTTCTGGAACCCTACTTGGGAAGTCCAGGTGATGTGAGGATTTAAGCCAGATCAAGGCACAAGAGCTAGAATAGCCCAAAAGCGAAAGAAAAATTAATTTATAGAGAGAAGAAATGAAGCTCTATAGTCAGGTTCAGGCTCAGTTGAAGGTTATAGGCCAAGGTAGAAGATGCAGAAGTGTTTTCAATTCCACATTGGCAGGCTGGGGTTAAAGACATCCCACAGCTGTCAAAGGCCAGCCAAATCCTTTGGCACAAAATTTCTCACAAGTTTATACTGTTTAATCTGGCTCCGTCCACAACATAAGAGCTGAAAAACTAGTGTGTTTCAAGTTTAGAATCTTCATTTGAAGATATTTGGAAATCATATACTCCACAATAATTGGTTTTTCAATGTCACTTAACCTTTTACTGTTTCGAAAAGATCTTTCTATCAAGTGTGAATGGAGAAATCAAAGAAGCCAAGTGCATAAAGGCTTGTAACTCTTTGCTTTCTCGTGGGAATTGGTAACTTACTGTGGTTTCAACCCCGATTTCCTGGTTGAGTCTGAGTGATGTCTGTGTTCCAGGTCATGATCTTGCTGTGCAATCAGCAAAGCTTCATCTGCACCCATGTTGACTACTGCCACCCTCACTGCTACCTGCACCACAGCCGCTCCTGTGCCCGGCTGGTCAGGGCCATCAAGCTGCTCTATGGAGACACTGTGGACTCCCTCCGGGAGAGTAACAACATCAGCAATGTGGCTCTCCGGGGCAAGAGACAGAAAGAGGTAAGTGAATGGTCACCTGAGAATATGCCTATTGTAGGGAAAATGATGTCCTGCAATCTTTTCTCTGGAAATACAAATGTCAGACCATGGCAGTTGTATAAAGCAGGTTACAGACCTGTGTGATTTTCAGCAAAGACAGAAGATGAGCGAGAAAAGACAAGTGCTTAGTGTTCATGTCTATGAGCCAACATGGAATCTTTTCCCAGGTTTTGTTTTACTTCTGTGAACAAATATGAACTTGTATGAGTGGTGGTGATGGGTACATTATGGTGATAGAATAATGACCCCCAAGGATGCCTGCATTCTAGTTTCTAGAACCTATGAATAAGTTACCTTATGTGGCAAAACAATTTTGCCAATGTGAATAAATTAGGAATCTTTTAATGGGGGAAATTGTCCTGAATACCCAGGTGGGTTCATTGTCATCATAAGGGTCTTTATAAGTGAAAAAAGGAGATAAGAGAGTCAGAGTCAGAAAAGGAGGTGTGACAACAGAAGCAGAGGTCAGAGTGATGCAGGGCCATGAGCCACAGAACGGGGCAGCCTCTAGAAGCCAGAAAAGACAAAGAAATGGATGATTCCCTAGAGCCTCCAGAAAGAACACAGCCCTGCCAATCCATTATAGATCTGACCTCGAGAACCGTAAGATAATATTTATTGTTTTATGCCATGAAGTTTGTAGTGATTTGTTGCAGCGGTTAACAGGAAACTGATACAGTTATGTATTAAGAAATAAGTAATAAATGGTCCAACTATTTACAGATAAATAATTGAGTAATCTGGTCAAATCAGACTACAGGAAATTCCTTTAAGAAACTATTACATTTTCTAAACATTGAGCTGCACTTTCCTGACAAGTACACTGAGCAGCTGAGCTGGCAAAAGATGAAGACAGTGACCAGGGCTGCCGTGCCCCTGCCAGGGAGGCCCCGAGTCACCCACCTGCCCCTGAACAGGCGTGATGGCCAAGATGCCTGACTGAGTGCCTCTGGCTGCCCCAGCAGCTGCTCCTCACAAGTGGTTTTACAAAGAGGTTTTGGTATAATACCTATTCATTTCAGTGAGCATTCATTGTGCACCTGCTGTTGGCACAATATGAGACCAGATATTCTGGAAGAAATAAAAAATAAATAAGTAGGAACACAGGATCTTTCTACTAAGGAGTTTGCAAACCAGGTTTGGTGGACTGGGGGATGGTAAAATATAAATCAAACAACTAGAGAATATGAGCAATAACAAAAAATTCACAGTTGGGTCATGCATGTAGCGCTTTGTAATGCAAAGGAATTTTTGCAAAGGAATTTTTTAAATTATTTTACACTTCACTGAAGAAATTTGGGGTAATACAAAAGATCCTAGAGAAAAAAAATCTGTATTTCATACATCTTATAAGTGTGCTATTTGCCTTCTGGGATGTGATATTCCAGTATTTTTTTTTCAAAACATATATGTGAGGCTATAATGCAGGTATATATCATTGATAGAGTGCTTTTTGATTCTTACAAACCTTGTGCAGGAGATGCTGTTCTCCCTATTTTACAGATGAAAAAGTTGAGGCTCAGAAGGATGGGATTGTCTCAGCTCACATCTATAACATATTCAGCTACACTTTAATTTAGAAATATGGAATATCAAATCCAGAGCTTTTTTTACTAGACTCTATTGTATTTCATCGTATTCAAACTACGTATTCAAACTTCTGGGGGAAGATCATGGGGGGACTAGATCAATGTGGGTAACTACATAAACTGTTAATGATGTTATAAAAAGAAAAATATACACCTATACATATATTTGTATCTGTATGTATGTACATAGTTATGTATATGTATTTTTATTTAGGTTAAGTTCTCCTTCATATAAAAACTCCCTTAGTTTTAGGAGAAAACCATATATGTTGGACGTTGCAAAAATATACTAATGTAAATCAATGTTCACTGTTCATCATACACACTTTGAGATTTCTTACTGCTCCAACGATACCTTCACCTGTAATACATATGTGGCCAAACTCAAACATCCTTCAAGATCCAATTCAAATTTCACCGCCTCCTTGAAATCATTTATGATCTTCCTAGAGTTAACCACAGGGCATACGATAGTGGATAATTAATGTTATTTTCATTCCCTCCTTTCTCTAAGTTACAATGGCATTTTACTTGTGCTTTTCTCATTTTTCATTCAATTATTCATTCATTAATTCATCCATCCATCCATCCATCCATCCATCCATCCATCCATCCATGTGTACCTTCAAATTTTTAAAGAAACTATGGACATGCTGGGTCCATTTTATGTGCTGTGTGTAATAATGGGCAAAAGCAATATGGCCCCTGTCTTCATATGATACACTCAGTCTAGTTGGAAAGACAAACATTAATCAAATAAACATCTCAAATTGCTATAAAACTGCAACAGCAGTAAGTGCAAGGAAAAAGAAACACACTGTGCTGAGACAGCTTATGAACAAGACTTTAAACTTGTTAAGGGAAAGAAGAGTAACGAGTGAGCTTTGACTGAAGGATGCATGAATATTAACTGAATATGGAATTTTCCAACCTGAGAGAAGAGGAGTACAAAGGACCGTGGCTGGAACACAGGGGACTTCCGTGCATGCAGCACAGGCAGATCAGACAACATGGGGCCACCCAGGCTCTGGGAAGGACTTTAGTCTTTATCCCATGCGTAGCATCAGACTCTGAGAATTTTAAGATCACTCTTCCTGGGGCACCTGGGTGGCTCAGTCAGTTAGGCGTCTGACTCTTGGTTTTGGCTCAGGTCATGATCTCATGGTTCATGGGTTCAAGCCCTGTGTTGGGCTCAGCACTCACACTGTGGAGCCTGCTTGGGATCCTCTCCCTCCCTCTCTCTCTGCCCACCCCCCTCACTCTGTCTCTCTCAAAATAAATTTTTTTTTTAATTTTTTTTTTAATCTTTATTCGTTTTTGAGACAGAGAGAGACAGAGCATGAATGGGGGAGGGGCAGAGAGAGAGGGAGATACAGAATCAGAAGCAGGCTCCAGGCTCTGAGCCATCAGCCCAGAGCCTGACGTGGGGCTCGAACTCACGGACCGCGAGATCGTGACCTGGCTGAAGTTGGACGCCCAACCGACTGAGCCACCCAGGCGCCCCAAAATAAATTTTAAAAAATTAAAAAAACAAAAAGATCACTCTGCCTACAAAATGGGGCTCTTTATATACCCATTTCTCCTCTGCCACTTAATTAGAAAGTTCTGGAAAATTGGCAGTCTTATACACTTTGTATCCCATGTGGTACGTACTAGATTTCTCCTACAGCACAGAGACAACAAATACTGAATGGCTGAGTGGGCTCTCTAGTTCATGAGTGCCCTTTACCTCAGGCCCGACAAGGATGCTGGCCTGAAGCAGAAGAGTCTTACCAACCTTAGATGATGCTCACATTTTGGGAAAGAGGAAGAGAATGTAAAGCAGGAGTTAGGTGTCCTCTAATCTTAACATATTTAAATTAGTAATGCAGGTGAAGAGCTGAAAAAAAATATATTGAGTCTGCTGTGATAAACATTTTATTTTCAAAATGCCAGCCTCCTGTGCAAGCTCTTTTTTGTTCCCTCCTGATGTTTCCATTTCCTGTGCTGAATCTGTCACATTATCGAACAATGCCCACATTTCTAGGGTCAAGATGAAAACAGAGTAGGCAGTAAATCAAGAATAAAAGCAGTGATTCTGATTAAAATTGAACCTTATGAGCAATTGATATTTCATTCCTGTTTCCTTTTAAATTGGTTTTTATCACAGAATATATTTGTGGCAGCTAGTACATTTTGTAACGCATGTAACTCTGATCAATCTGCTAATCTACATTTCAATGCTCAGAGAGTCACTGTACATCCTGCTAGTCTATTTTAGTGCACTTCCAAGCTTAGGAGGTTTTTATAAACTATATATATATATATTACCTTCACCAAAGAATTCTTTGACTTTCCTACATATATGTATCTTGTCCAATGCTATGTTTTGGACAGAGTAAATGTTGAATTAGTGCTTGCCGATGAAAAAAAGGAGTAGATAAAACAAAAATTTTCTTTTCCTTTCAGCCAGAAAGGAAAGGGCTGTAAAAAGTGATACATGCCCAAAAAAGAAAGGGCGCAGCATCAGTAAATTCTGCAAAGCCAATGAAAGTAGCAAGAGGCCAACTGATTTCCTGCAGGACTAATGTTTTTCCAAAGCTGTGGAAGAGACTATTGTTGAGACCAAGAGCAGACCCTGGGCCTTGACTTCATCTGCCAGAATGTCTTCCCATTCATACTCATGTGTCAAAGATGTGTGAGGCACAAGGTCTTGGTTATCTTTAGGGAAATAATTGGACTTCTCTCATCATGAAACATGTTTCTGGGAAGATCTCTTTCCCAGAGATCTTGGTAGACTGGCTCCAATTTTCTTTGGTTTTAAATACCCCATTATTTCCATAGCAAATCATCATTCGTGGCATTTGTGCTTACTATGATTTTTCATTTGTTTCCTTGCTTGCTATCTGTCCCTCCGAGTGAGATATACTCTCCGTGAAGGCAAGCACCAAGGGAGTTTTGCTCCTCAGCATATCCCCAAAAGTTAGCTCAGTTCCTGGCATATGGCTAATTCTTAATAAGCAGTCTTGAATTATTAAATGAATAAGTACATTTTTTACTTAAAGTAATGAAGTATTATGCCTCTCTGGTCAATAATCTTTTATTGGAAGAATCTCCCTGAAACTTATTCAAATAATTAGAGTTTCTCCAAGGGGCACAGCAGAATCTCATGAAACCAGGGACAGACCAGGAAATAGCTGAGCCTCAGAGGAATGAGAAAGCTGTGGTCCCTATCAGAATGGATATAGTGTCTCATCTCTGCTTTTTTCGTATCTCCACCTGCTCACCCATCTCTGTCCCCTGACCTGCTCCTCATGTTTATTCATCTTGTGTATAACCTGAAAATCTCCAGGTTGCATTATCATTTCTCAGCCCCAGCAACCGTCACCACATGAATCAGACTCTGTGCCCCTTAATTCCCTAGGACAGGAATTTGGTGGGCTCAACTCCTCCTCTTTGTGATCCAAACATCCCAAGGGATAAACCTGTGGCCAGTCAAATAATTGGTTTTGCATTGCAACTTTAACCAATAATGGTCAGAATGAGGAGAGAAGTCCCAGAGCCAAATATGGTGAATATATATCCCAAGACACACAGAGAGAAGAAAATGGCAGTGGTCCAAGATCTATGCCATGCCACAGCAAGCATGCCCCAGGATCCCTGACATCTCATGGGGCTGTCTAGCTGCCTCCCATTGACCATATCTCCCTTGGGTAGATTGAGTCAACAATGAGTGCCATCCTCTATTAGTGATACATTCTGTCCTTTGGTCTTGGATTACAGTCTCGGGTTTCTTTACAGGTCCCAGTTGGATGTGTAATTCCAACGAGCATATGCAACTCACAGTCCAGTGAAATTTCTTACTCTTCCGTGAAACACCAACAACCAATAGATGCCTTCAGAACTAGTCTCCTGCTCCATCTAGCTCCTAGCTCTCTTCTAACCAAGTTTTACATCAAGTTACTAAATCTAAAAAGCCACTGATGATAGCCTTGTCGGTCTGAGTTAGGGGTCACACCAGTAGAGAGAGTTGGGTACATACCAAGTGCTTATCACACAAGTACCCATCTTCAATACCTACATTTCAAACCTCAACAAGTCATGTGGGAAGAATGCCTAGCCCATCACCTTAGTCTGAAAGCCCTTCTAATTACCTTCCCTTTCCTCTAAAACAAGCATCCTAACTATGATGAGGCACCAGAATACACCATACTTCCTAGGGAAGCATGCCAGAATATTAAATGTTTGAGATCTGAGAAGCTTGACATATACCTTCTGTCCCTAGTTAATAGGATTAAACAGAATCCTACATTTACCAGAGTGTCAGAGGCAAACATGAATGTTCACCCTTTTTATTCTAAGCTGGTATCTGCCTGATTAAAAAACATATAATTTAATCAAGAAGGAAATTCAAAAGTAACCCTGAAAAAGACAAAATGTCCGGCCAGAGGAGAAAGGGGTGAACTATTAATAAACTTTGAAAATCATGGGGCGCCTGGGTGGCGCAGTCGGTTAAGCGTCCGACTTCAGCCAGGTCACGATCTCGCGGTCCGGGAGTTCGAGCCCCGCGTCAGGCTCTGGGCTGATGGCTCAGAGCCTGGAGCCTGTTTCCGATTCTGTGTCTCCCTCTCTCTCTGCTCCTCCCCCATTCATGCTCTGTCTCTCTCTGTCCCAAAAATAAATAAACGTTGAAAAAAAAAATTAAAAAAAATAAAAATAAAAATAAAAAAAACAAAAAAACTTTGAAAATCATATTTTAAAATAATTGTAATGACCTAGGGAAATATTCATTATAAGATCCTGATAAAATGAAATGTTTAAACTTGTATGTCACATACATAACCTGCTCACCACTGTGTTAAGAGGCACAGAGTATAAAAAAGCTGAAAGGAACAAAATAATGGGCATCATTGGATTAGGGATCATAGACATATTCTTTTCTTCTTCCAAGTTTTTCTGTGTTTTCCAGATGTTCTACAATTTACATGTATAGTTTTGTAAATAGAAAGAATAAAAGAGAGACATCACTTTTAAAATACCTTGAATTTTTAAAACAGGAAGTCAAATAAACCCCTATATTTATATGGTAAGTTACTGCCATATGATTTTAGAACAGTTTCTAAATTATAAAACAAGCATGTATATTACTGTATGTTGTTTTTACATTTACAGGAAAAAACGCAATGCCAGATTTATCTCCTCAAATGAGATGTGTTCCCAAGTATGTGCCCCCGTGTTTTTATATTTAGAAAACAGAGCAAGAGCTCTGGTTCATTTGTTTCGAAGTAGATTCATTCTAAAAGTTCATTCCTTACTAGTCACACACCAGATGCATTGTCTAAGGTGTTTATGTCAGAGCTTTGAAATACTTTCTTGGAATATGCAGGTACTTTTAGATATGTCCTTTCTTTCAAATATCTCCATCTCTAACACTGTGCAGTTCTGCTCAAAAATTCTTGAGGAGCTCAGTTCTTTCCCCCAGCATGGAGGGAGAAAGCGTTTCATTGACATGGCTGTGGAAAAACAAATGAGCGTTTGTTCCGTGTAGAAGGATGGATTCCCTCTTGCACAGCCCAGGGTGCAAAATGAGGAGTGATCAAGACTCAGTATAAATAAGCAAGAGCCTGTCACCATTAAGAACGATCATTCTCCCAGCTGCTCTGTCCACTCCATCCCTCGGCATTCAGAGAGTCAGAGAACTGCCTCCTCCGTGTTTATGCAGATGAGTCCATTTTATTTGGTACCCTGGTTGAGGAGACAATTTGAAAGAAGAGTTGCTGCCTCCCATAGGCGAGTGTGGTTTTTGCTTTTGTTTTTCAAATGAGTTTGGATTTTTAAAGAAATCATTTTACCTTACAGTTCAGGCCTAGATAATAAATGCTGTGGACTTATACTTCCTTGATGAGTCTATTTCTTACTTCCCAACACTCCTTTATGAAATACGTTCTTTCTTCCGTGACCAAATGGCCACCTTGTAACATCCAACCCCGTAAAAGAGCTATTAAGTTTTAACTGAAAAGAGCTATTAAGTTTTAACTGATTTTTTTTTTTTTAAGATTTGTGGTTTTAAACAGCTTTCTGGGATGCAATGGGTCCTGAGATGGAAGTCAGCAGATCCTTGTCTTGTTTTAATTCCGCTAATGGCCAGTTTTGTAACTGGTCAAGTTATTCCACTTCTCTGGGCCTCTGTGGCAAAAGAGGAGCTTGTAGCTAACTATCTCTGAGCTCTCTTTCATACCAAAATGAGCTGTTTTCATCAGTTTCAGAAAGTGTGGGCCTCCAAAAAGGCCTAAACTGCCCCCCCCCCCGCTAGAAGAAGATAGTTCTGGGGTGCCTGGGTGGCTCAGTTGGTTGAGTGTCTGACTTTGGCTCAGTTCATGATCTCACAGGTTGTGAGTTCAAGCCCCACATCAGACTCACTGCTGTCAGCCTGTCAGTGCAGAGCCTGCTTCAGATCCTCTGTCCCTCTCTCTCTGCCCCTCCCCCACTTATACTCTGCTCTCTCAAAAAATAAATAAAAGCATTTTAAAAATATAAATAAGAAAAAAAGAAGAAGATGGTTGTTTGGAGACTGGGGGAAAACAGCACTGTTGGCCTTGAGAGGATGTGACACTCTTTGTCACTGATCTCCTGTTCTTTGCAGTGCTCAGAGAAGTCATGCCTGAGGACACCTTCTCTGAAGAAGAGAGTTTCTGATGCCAACCTGGAAGGGAAAAAGGACTCTGGAATGCTGAAATACATCAGACTGCAGGTATTGACATCTGGATCAGAAACATTCATGGAGCAGTCATGGGGGAGGAGGGCACCAAATATCCTTTTTACTAATGCTTGAGACCGACGGGGCCAGTTGGCACAGTGTTAGCATAGAGACCCCTTTAATTGGTGGGTCTCTATTGCAGGAAATTGCAGGAAAAAAAATCCCTTCTCGTTAGCCAGCGAGCTTCCACAGAGCCCCGGCTTGGGGAGCGTGGCTGGAACATGTCTCCTCTCACTCACCCCACTCCATGGAGCTAATCCCCCACCAGCGTGTGGTAGCCATGCTCACAGCTCTGAGGATGTGATTTTCTGGGTTCAAATCCCGCATCTGCCACTCTGGCTCTGGGACCTTGGGCAAGTTGTTCAATGTCTCTTGGTCTTATTTGCCTTATCCATAATAGGGGGATTATAACACTAGACCCGTCTCAAGGGATTATTGCCTGGATTAAAAGAGGTAGTACACTTAACTACTTATCCAGTGCTTGACACATTGTTATATTGTTATTATAGCCTAAACCCTAAACTCTAAATCGTTACGTGTATTCCCGAGTCAGGCAGCAGGGGTCGGGGGGGGGGGGGCGGGTGGCAGGGAGGGAAGAAAAACAACTTGTGTTTTTGGAAAGTATTTAAAACGGTTAAAGGCCTAGACTGTCCAGAACCTACATTTATCACCTAAAGTATCTGAAATAATGGATTCAATATGGTTTTTGTGGCCCAATCTGGGGCATTAACTACAGTACACAATGTTTTAAAGGGAAAATGTCATCCACAGTTACTGGCTTAGAAAACTGACGTTCTGAATGGAACTCCTTTGTAAATTAGAGGCTGCTCACTGTCTTCAGTGGACCTCAAGTCCTAAGAGAAAGGAAAATAGGACGCTTTGAAAGCCCATCAGCACTTTTAACACAAAGATGTACTGGCTTTTCTCATAGAGCTCATCCTACAGCTTATTTCTTAGGTGGCTGCAGAATAGTTTTTGCGGTGAAAGCATTTTAAAAGTAGCGTGTCGTTTTGTAATTATAATCAACTAATGAGGTATAAAGCTTATTATACACCATGCCAATAAATATGCTCCCATTTTAGGAAGGATTTTACAGTCATTTAAGGAAAGCAGAGAAGGGACGCGGCACGTAGGTTCCAAGAGGAGTGCAGCAATCAGTGTCTTCGAAGATTTTAAGACGTGACTTCCATCTCTTCCCAGGTGATGAGCCTGTCTCCTGCCCCTTTATCTCTGCTAATCAAGGCAGCACCGATTCTGACAGAGGAGATGTACGGAGACATCCAGCCAGCTGCCTGGGAGCTTCTGCTCAGCATGGATGAGCACATGGCAGGGGCGGCAGGTAAAGACAGAGCACCCGGGACCCTGCTTGCCACTCATCCTGGGTGTTTAACTGAGACGCATATCCACTCCCTTTCATTCCAAGGTCAGACCCAGAGCAATTGCTAGAACTCGAGACAGAACTGTGCACTACAGGGAGGGAGGCTGAGGTGCCACCCACCCTTTACGTTTACCCCGTAGACTGCACAAGAGCAGTGTGGCTCTCTGTGGCCTTACCAAATTACAAAGAGTGATTTTCCCCAGAACCTGCATTTCCGCCGTGCTTCACAAAAAGAGAAACTTCTTTTTGTGTGTTGTGATCTCCCAGATTTACCGTGAGCCATCATCATTAACTTCACTAAATCGATACAAGTAATATTTTATGTCCAAATGACAATATCGAAACAGATTGGTTGAAATGTGGGTGACATAGCCAAAGACACACAGCTAGTAAAAAGGACATGCAAAATGGGGGGTTTTCATGTTTTTTCCACTTTTTGTACATATTCTTTTGGTTTTATATAGTTGTTTTAATTCCATAATGTACATGGTAAAATCTCAAATAATACGTAAGTGTATGAAGCTAAAAGTATCTCTTCCTCATGACTCTCAGTCTCTTCCCCAGAAGTGACAATTTTTAAGTTTTTCAGGAGTCCTGCTAGGGTACACTATATATATCTATATAGATATATATATACATATATATATCTATATAGATATATATGTATATATGTATATATATCTGTATATATATCTATATATACAGATATATATGCATATATATATCTAGATAGATAGATAGATACCTAAGTACCAATGTATATGTTATGTTTTCTCTTTCACACAAATAAGACATATCATAAAGACTTTTGAACTTTCCATTTTTCTTTTATATCTAGAAGATTTTTTTTAAGAATTTATTTGAAGAAAAATCTATTCAAATCAGGCAGCACCAAACTGGGAGTGCTTTACCAACAGGAGCTCAGGGAGCTTTTTATAGAAAAAGGTGGGCCACCTGGGTGGCTCGATCTGTTGAGCATCCAACTTCAGCTCAGGTCATGATCTCGCAGTTCATAGGTTCAAACCCCATATCGAGCTATGTGCTGACAGCTCAGAGCCTAGAGCCTGCTTCAGAATCTTTGTCTCCTAATCTGTCTGCTCCTCCCCTGCTCACACTCTGTCCTCTCTCTCTCTCTCAAAAATAAACATTAAAAAATTTTTTTAAAGAAAAAGGACAGAAGCAAAGTAAGGCAATTATTGACTGGCTATAGCTAAAAGCCTAGTTGGCTTTTATCGCTTTTAGCTTTATGATTTGTAACCTTAAGGCACTTACAGGCTTAGATTCTTGCTGGCTTACATAGGTCACTGCAGGATTAGTGCCACATCATTCTAATGGCCTCCTTGTTTAATGAACAAATTTCCCCTTGTGGTCATCCTCTCATATATGAGAGATCCAAAAATTTGGTATTAGTGCTACCCTCAGTCAGATCAGAGTTAAGTTGCTCTTATTTCATTGTGAAACTCATAGGTTATGATGTCAGATCCATAAAACAATCGTTTTTACTATTCCCCTCTTTGTTCATCTTCTTTCTGCTCTTCTGAACAAGTGAGACCATGTAATATATGGTTGATGCTGTGACCGTGCATTTAAGAACACTGAGAGAACATAGCACACCAGGGAGACTATAATGATAACTATTAGGAGTATAATGCCAAGAGACTGAAGGGTGCTCCTCAGCCAGGGTCTCCATGACCCAAACTAGTTGGTATCAGTTAATGTACCTGTTTTTAGCCAAGTGGCTTATTTGTTAATTTCTTGTATTTGCTACAATGCCAGATGTTTTGAGCCAGGTGCAGCAAGGGCTATTTTATCATGGCACAGAAGTTTCTGTGTTTAGCCAATAAGTAATCTGAGGCAATTTTATTATCTGAAACCACCTTACCAGGAAAATACAGAGATTTTGTTGTACAGCTATGGCCTTAGCAGTAGATGTAGCCATAGTTGTCAGGGCTGACAAGCACTGTCTTTCCTGTTCATTAACAGAAAAAAGCAAGTAGCAAAAAGGCAAAAGGAGTAACAGTTTAATATTGGAGATGATGATCTTGATCTGCGATCTTGAGAAAGCTGTCCCCAAAATGCAATCTGTATCCGAGGAGGAAGCTCCCTAGTCAATTTTAAGGTTAGTTCCAAGAGTTTAGAGAAACTCTCTCATGAAGGATGTAGACCTACCATTCAAGTCCCTGAAGTTTGGCCGCCATCTGGGTAGTAAAGAGGAACTGGTATGGTCCCTTCCAAGGACATTCAAGGACAGTTTTTGTTCTTAGTGATTCCAAGTCAGAAAGTGGGGAACATTAGTTTGGGAGTGGTGGCCAGACATTTAAGGAAAATAGGAGATTCAAGATCTAGTTGGGTGTACAGATAAATAACCTCAATGACAATGAACAGGACTGGAATCTGATATTCACAAGTGTTACAATTTTTTACTGCAACATAATTTTTCCTTTACAATCATGTTCATTTCTATCAAAGATAATCACTGTAAGACTAATTAATTTGTTTGCAAAATAAATCTAGTTTCATTAAACGTGACCTTATTATTTACCTAAGTACAGCAGGAATAGTGATTGAACATATAGGCTTATTTCAAATCTGTTTTGCTGGAACTTTTTATAAGACTCATAGATTGGATTTTAAAAAACTCTCCAAGGGGTGCCTGGGTGGCTCAGTAGGTTAGGTGTCCAACTTCAGCTCAGGTCATGATCTCATGGTTTGTGGGTCCAAGCCCCATGTCAGGCTCTTGCTGACAGCTCAGAGCCTGGAGCCTGCTTCAGATTCTGTGCCTGCCTCTCTCTCTTCCCCTCCCCAACTCATGCTCTGTCTCTCTCTCTGTCTCAAAAATAAAAAAACATTAAAAAAAATCAGGAAAAAACAAAAATAAAAACCTCTCCAGGCTGAGAAGCCAAGAGAAGAACTCAATATGAGACTTCACCTGGAATACCTATAGATTTGGCTGAATTTCAATCTTCTTGAGGTCCCTAGGATATCTTGAGTTTCCTGGGCCTTTCCAGAAATGACCTTTCTTACTCACCTGGTAAGGTTGCAGGGAATCCTGTAAGCAAGGTACCAGGCCAGTTTTCCAATGAGCTGTTATTGGCTCCATAAAGTCAACCTTACTTCCTTAAAATTGTCTGGTCATATCTGATTTTATGCATATTCTCAAATACAATATTCCAGTCAAAGTCTCAGTGATAAAACAAATGTTTCCAGTTGTGCCCTCTTATATGAAAAGCAGGTTCTTATTGAACTTATGCAAATAATTACATTGTCATGAAAGTAAGAATACTCAATGAGTTTCTGAATTCTGGAAGAATCAGGTGATGAGAAAAGTGAATGTTTTATTTCAATATGGTTTATAAAATTACCATTAAGTCATAGATAGCTTAAGAGAAAAGAGAAAAAAGTATCTTTAAATCTGGAAAAATAAAACATTAAGGAATTTTAATCATCCTCATCAGTACATTCAATCTCATATCATTAATTCTTGTTCTACTTGAATTGTTTTTCCATTAGTTCTGGAAATGCTTAACCAGTTCAGTTTTATGATCTTACCATGAATCTTTCTGAAGATGCTTTTTGTCAAAGCATCAGAATAAAACAGGAACTGTCTACAAATGACAAAAAGACTTTTAGAAAGTGGCCATGATTAAAGATCTGATGGGAGTTCATTTGGTAAAGAAAATGAGTTATTTCTATGGTATGCAATAATTTAGGATAATAATTGGACCATGAGAGTATTAACAACTTCCTAGAAACTTTGAACAGTTTCTGGAATACCTGTATTGGTAACATATATCCATACATATATAACTTAAGAATGTTTATTAACACTTCTTACTTGACAATGCTTCCACATAATTTAACATGCCAAATAAGCCTAATTAGTTTAACATCTCTCTTCAGAGGTGAGAGACATTCTTTGAGATTGTCTAGAGACCCTCTGGGAAAACCCAAAGTTACTTTGAAATCAAAAAGACTTCATTTAGAATTTGATTTTGGGAAGTTGCCAAAATGTCAAAAAGTTTGAACATTTGACTAAGTAGGATCTCAGATCATTATGAAATAATACTTAATTATCTATTTAAGCCACAATGGATTTTAAAGGTAAATACAGAAAGTTACATAGTTGTGAACCAAATTTAGCTCTTTTAATAATAAAAGGATTGAGTTTTTTTAAGTTATTAAAGACCTGATACAGACAACATGAAGCACAGTAAATTATTTTGGCAAGGCATAAAATCTTCATTTTCCAGGTAGATTATCCAAAAGGTAAAAAACAAACAAACAAACAAAAAAACACTTTTCACAATCTTTTATGAAAAGCTGACTAATAGTCCACGAAAAGTTTGGGTTTTTTTTTTGTTTTGTTTTGTTTTGTTTTGTTTTGGTGAGACAAAACCAAATTCTAATTTTTTTACCAGTGTGTTTTTAATATTAAAACTCATTATTTAGGGACGCCTGGGTGACTCAGTCAGTTAAGCGTCCGACTTCAACTCAGGTCATGATCTCACAGTTTGTGAGTTTGTGAGTTCGAGTTCCGCGTCTGGCTCTGTGCTGGCAGCTCAGATCCTGGAGCCTGCTTAGATTCTGTGTCTCCCTCTCTGTCTGCCCCACCCCCGCTCATACTCTGTTTCTGTCTCTCTCAAAAATAAATAAACATTTTAAAAAATCTCATTATTTAAAAACTTAAATACGTCCATTCCAGCCACATGTAAAATTTCTTTTCAAAGATTCCTTTCTATAAGCCTTCAAACAATTATTTTCACACCATTCAGATTTTGTTCTGTTTTTTGTTTGTTTTTGAACTTGAAAAACATTTCATTTAGTTTCTATATTTCTGAGAGTATATTTCATTTATATAAGTGCTTATTTATCTTTAATCCAATAAATAGAGTTCTTTACAAATTAATTTTGGCAATATCATCTGGAGTAGGAATATATCACACATCTGCAACATACATGCATAGACATACATAAATATATAGACAGACACAGAGATCTTGTAGCATTTGCTTTAAAATTTTTGTCATGAGACAGGTGTGATAATGCAAAACTGACTAGTTTATGAAAAAACATTTGGATCTAAAGTGTGTTTCTGGCAGATAGAATAAGTTAAGATTACTTGCTCAGATGGCTAATTCTTTTACCAATATTTGTGGAAAAGACTAAAGATTTTCATTCACCTAATTTCTCAAGTAGTTTCCTTTTTTTTTTTTTTTTTCCTGATAAAAATCACCTCCCTGAAGTTTGCATTTCGACTTGGCTCTAGGTTTCTAGGGAAGACCAGATAGAACATTTACATCTCAAAGGCACACAGAAAGGATGTAAATTTATTCAAGAAGGGCTTTTGTTCCCTAAATCCACATTTCTTATAATATCTGAAAGCCTTTTGAGATGAATAGGGTTTAGAGATTGGTAGAGAAGATAAGTATGCTTTGTTTCTAGGGCTGCATTTCTGTTTTTGTTTGATAAGTAGAAGATAATTTATTAATTCCTCAAAGAACTATCTTGTAATTTGAACATCAAGATGCTTACCCAGCCATCCAACTACATTATCCTCAAATTGCTTCTTTATATCTGGGAAATCAACTAAGATGGAAATCAAGATTCCTATGTTCTAGATTTATGGCTGTGTTTCTTTGGAATGTTTTAGTAAATCCTTCCACAGTGGCTTCAGAATGTTTCTATCCCTCCGGGCTCTTAGTTTCATTTTGACTTAGGAGAGAAGCCCTAAAAGAAAAAGTTTCTATGGAGCTCTGAATATCAATTTCCAGTTTGGCCAACTTCTGACCATAGAGCTACTTGAATGAATGAGTGAATGAATGAATGAATGAATGAATAATAAATAAATAAATAAATCCTTTTGAATAATTTCTCAGGTTTCATCTGAGACAAATAGTAAATATTTCTGGCACTACTGAACAACCCCATGGACACAAGAGGGGACAGAGATGATGCAAAACATACTACCCTCCCCAAATCCTGAGCCATCCCAAATAACAATTATAGTGAGTGCCTGGCTGAGACCCTTTTTTCTTTAGGGCCTTTCATAAATGAATGAGCTTATCTGAGATGATTAAGTTATCCACTGTGGCTTCATGATTCAAGACTATCTTTGGTAAGGTTAACCTTACTTGTTCAGCCTTAAAACAAAATTTTATTCACCTGAGGCCTCATATTAGACCAGTCCAGTTTACTTCTGACCCCAGACCCAGTCCAGTTTCTAAATCTGAATCAGTCCTTGGAACCCAGTCTGACCCAGGCTAACTCAGGCCAGTTTCCAGACCCAATACAGAAAAAGAAATGCTCAAATAAAGTCTATAAGCCCATAATGCAGAAGCTGCAGAGCTAGGATCCAGGACCAGGAAGAGACTTACCCATAACCTCTGAAGGTAGGTAGCAAGAAAGCAGCAAGTTCAGGGGCTCCATAGGTACCTATACCTGGTTGCTCATTGCTCCTGGGGGCCATCAGGGTCCCCTTTGGTTGCCTCTTGTGACACTAGAACTGTTAAAAGATAAACTGGGGTATACTAAAAATTTGAAGAGTTTATTTGAACAAAAACCAATTCAAATTGGGCAGCACCCAATGAGAAGTTGTTAGAAGCACTCCCTAGGAAACCATTTTTAACATCTGCTTATAAATTCACCTCATTCTTTTTAATGGCTACCAAATATTTCATTGAATGAATGGGCATAATAATTTATTTAACCTGGACCTACTAATGGAAATTTAGGTTTATTCTGGATTTTTATACTACACTGCAACAAATGTCTTGTAAAATATTTTTGTTCACATTAAAGCTTAGATTTTTGCTTCTCTACCACATGTTTCTCAGGGAGAGCTGTAGGGAAGGGCACACTCCCCAGATATGAGACAGCCATGGAAACTTTCATGGAAGATATGAACAGGTAGACTGGGCTTTAATAAAAGCTAGAAGAAGATGGTGTATGCAAAGCCACATGGGCTGTGGAAATGCATGGGGCTTATTTGAAAAGCATGAAGAGGAACTGAGACTGGGGTGGCTTTTGTAGAGGAGTCCCCAGTCCATTATTAGATAAGTGAGTGGGACTCAGATTGTAACAGACCTTGAAAGACACACTTGGACGTATGGACTTTCCATTGAACTGTGGGAAACCACTCATGGGTTCTGAGCCAATGAGTAATGTCATATATAGAGGATGTGTTGTTAGCAAGTCGAATGTGGCAGCAATGAGTGAAGTAGTAAGGCGACATATAGCCAGTGATGTGACATTAAAGCTAATAGGAAAAGGTCAAAGGTAGAGATAAACTGGGGGGGAATCTGATCTATGTGGTCTCTGAAGCAGTAAGAGTGGATGAGATTTCCAAGGGAAGAATCTAGAGAGGAAAGAGCAGAAGGATGAGCACTAAGCCATTGACCTTCTCTACCTTCAGAGACAGGAAGAGGAGCAGCCAGCAGAATACCCTGGAAAATGACCAGAAAAGTAGGAGAAAAACTCAACCTCAAACCATGGAAGCCAAAGAGGAGAGCTCATCAGAGAGATTTTTATGAAGGTGTTAAAAACTGAAAGGAAACAAATGCTGTAAAACAAACAAACAAACAAACAAAACCACTGGGTCTACTGATTAGTGATCATTACCAGAAAATTGCTTCAGGACAGAGATTGAGGTAGAGCTCCAATTGCAATAATGTAAAGAGCAACCATGGTGTTTAAAAGTTGAGACAGAGTAGAGCACACTTGGAAGAAAAGTAATGGAAGGAGACAGAGTGGAGATTTAAGGAACTAGTAGGATAAAGAAAAGTATAATCAAAAGCTAATGGTCACAGTAGCTAACATTTTTTATAGAACTAACTATAGCACACCAGTTGTCTTACTGGATCCTTGAAACCACTATTTTATAGATGAGCAAACTGCAACTAAGAGGGTTCAAAGGGCTTATCCAAGTGCACACAGTTCAGAATCAGCAGGGCTGGGAAACCAAACCTAGGTCTTCTGACTGCACACACATAGATGTCCCTCCCATATGCCACATTGTCTCTAAAAAATGAAACCTGCTTTAGAAGTGTGTAGACTTCTCGTGTCACAGAGCACTTTCTCATACATTATTTTATCTTATTTTGACAACAAATTTGGAGGCAGCTATCATCATCATCATCATCATCATCATTGACCTTCTGACCCTAAAGAAACAGAGGCTGAGAGAAGTTGAGAGGTTCTCCTAAGGACACATAGCAGAGAGGTTTCAGACCCGGCACTCAATCCTAGCTACCCTAACACAATTGTCTGAGTATTTTTTTGATGATCCAGGAAAAAGTACAAGAGAGATTTTTAAATTATGTTTTTATGATTGACACTGGCTCATTCATCCATGCTACAGTGTCTTTTTCTGCACCATTATTCATTAACTTTGTAACTTATCAGGGCACTTGACCTTTCTCATATTGATATTTGGCTTTCCCCAAAATTAAAAACAACAATGGTATCATGATTCATGAAATCTCTTTGGGCTTCTCAATCTTTTCTATCTCTCAGAAGGGTAGATGTTTCTAATACAGTCTACAATGTGGATTTTATTTTTAATATAATGTAACTGGGACAGTTTTTAATGGACATTTTTACATACTGTCCCTGGATTACTATGAGATGACTCTTATCATTTTCTAAAAAGGATATTTCGGTATATAATTGCCTTTTTTTCATTTGCTTCCTCACACATTCGCTTTGCACTGTGAGCCAAAGGAAGCTTTGCTTGGAATGAGGTATTCTACTGAAATACCACACAGTCACTGCCCTCACCAGATATAGGAAGATTGTGGATGGCACAAAGTATTATGTTTGGTTTCCAGCAGCTGAAATAAGATGTGCTTTTGCCAATGCCGGTGGCCTGGCTGCATTAGCTCAGGAGTCATTTTCAAGACACAAGAATAGCTCCCCACTTGTCCCCATCCCCAAGAACCAACCAAATTTAAAAGATGTGTAGCTGACAAATTGTTGGCCGTCTCTAGCTGCCATGTTCCTGCTGTGTGCGGTGAAAGTCCCTGAGGCTGTGTCTGACATGTTGATGTCAGAGTTCCACCACCCAGAGACTGTACAGAGGCTGAATGCTGTTCTCAAGTTCCACACACTCTGGAGGTTTCGCTACCAGGTCTGGCCCCGGATGGAGGAAGGAGCACAGCAGATTTTTAAGGTGAGGGATACTTCCCCCATAGGAATTAGATTAGCAAACTAACCGAAGACTTGTTTAAATCCTTGAACCTCAAATCCATGGTGTGTGGCCCAAAAGATGCTTCTTTTTTCTCTCTGATTATGTAAGTAAACCTAACTCATATATGCATGAATTCTTGTTTTAATAATTGAAATAGAGAAGAGTGGAAAGTAAGAAAATCAATGTTCTATAAACCTCAAGATCCCACTACCATCCCAAGAGGTAAACATAAAAATTTGGGGTATAAACTTTCAGACACTTTGCTGTATCTATACATATAGATGTTTTTTTGGAGGATGGAGTAATTAACATAACTAAAGAACATAGAGTTAAAACCTTTCATTTTTTAATGAATAAGCTGAGACCCAGAGATGTTCATCCTATGCTGTATAACATCATGTACTCTATAATATTATTTCATAATTATACTTCAGACCCATTCTAGCTTATTTTTCACCTGACTTCATTTTTCTGATGTCAACTAACAGATCCCACCTCCCAGTATAAACTTCACCCTGCCCTCGCCAGTGCTTGGAATGCCATCCGTCCCAATGTTTGACCCCCCATGGGTCCCTCAGTGCAGCGGGAGTGTCCAGGACCCCATTAATGAAGACCAGTCTGTGAGTAACAGGCATTTTCTCGTATCTTCAGGCTCCTTGGTGTACATGTAAGAGAGAAGGACAATGAGTATGTGAGACAGTTTGTTAATTCTTGTCATAAGAATAGAATAACAACACAGAAAATCAGCCATGAAAATCATAAAAGGTCATTGTTCTTATGAATAGAATCATAGTCTCAATAGCAGCCACCTTATACAGCTGTTAAAAACATTGGGCATTGATTTCTTGGCCAAGGGTAGCACTTTTGTCCCTAGTTATTATAACACAAACACATTCGTTTAACTGGTAATTCACAAGCTACCCAAAAGTTAATGAGAGTGACCCTGGATAAGAAAAGGAACAGAATTGGCAGTTCTTTTTTCTTTGTTTGGATGTTGGTCTGTTCTTCATTTTGTTGATCATTAGTATCATCATCATAAATATCGTTCTGAGACCTCAGGTCTTATGTACTTTAATGTGACACTCTATATGTAATATAATTCATAAACAGCTAAGTTTAGAACATGGCATATTCATAGAACCAAGAATATATGCCTTTTGAAAAAAATGAGTCTTCAAAGTATGCTTTTTTCACCTGTTGAATAGCATTTTTCTAAATTATAAGAGTAATGTAGAAAATATGGAAAATAAAGCAAAAAAGGAGAAAAAGAACATACGTCTTTGCACAAATCTATGATTATTTTCTTGCACAAATTCCCATGGACTTAGGGCAATTGGTATATAAATATTAAAGATTTTAAATACACCTCACAAAATAACCCCAGGAAGATTTTATCATTTTACCCACGTAAAATAGAATAGGAAAGTGTTTTGTCTTTATTCAAATTAGCTAATATTATTTTTTAATGCCACTTTGATTGACAAAAAACAAAGTCATTGGTTTTTTTTGTTCACAATTCTTTAAAAAGTTTGTTGGATATATGAAGTTAGCTTGAACGTTTTTGCACATCACATATTTTCTTGACATTGTAGTTTTCTTTGGAGAACTGTTTGAGCTCTTAACCCATCAAAATATTTTAATTCTTCTGCATATAGTACTTTTGTATCTGATGGTGTTAATGCCAAAGAGAAAGGCACACTACATACAATGAATCCAGCATCTGAACCCCTGGCATAAGGATCTTTGATTTGTCTCCTGCATAGACAACGGATTCATTTGAGCCAAACACACTCTCTATCCCAGTTCACAATGAATTTGAAGCCAAGACCCCTGATTCGATAGAGTTCTCTTTCTCTCATTACATAATTCTTATCTTACCTTAATATAATAAATCAGTTTAACCCCTAGCTCTGCAAATAAATTGCCATGTGGCCTATCTAATGCCCTTAATTGCTATTGTGCCATTCTGCATAGGAAACCTTTAGTCTTATGTTAAGATCCTGCATTCAACCTTAGTTAACACTATCAATTCTCATTATTTCTATTCACTAACTTTGTTTCTACAAATATTGTTAAGTATTTACAGTGTCCCACTGTATTTACCTACAATAATTAAATATTTACTGTGTGGTAGTTAGTCAGGATACAAAAATAAAATAAATCATATAACCAATTGTTTTATGTAAGCGATAGCTCTCTTTCCTCCTCCTTTCCATGGTTCTTTCTCTTTTACTAACCTTTATGAAATAAATGTCCTTCATTTAAAATCATTTCAAAAAATTATGGAAAGGAATAAATATTAAACTTCTTTATTTCATTGTAATGTTTAAAGAGTGGATCATTGATATCACCCCAAATTCTAAAGGTGAAATCCCAAAACTTATAGATATTCTTGAAGAATTATTCTCATTGAATGAAAATGAATAGCTTAGTTACATACAACCTGGAAATCTGATAGAAAAACAAATAGCCATGAAACTAGACCATGGGTGCCCTACCATTTCCTGAGAACAAAGTACCACATTTTGTAATTCTATTGAAACACTCTTTGTCTATGACCTTGCAAAACAGTTTCTATAAGATCAACTGGTCTTCATGTCTCCACAGAAATCCTTTTCAGCCCGTGCTGTGTCCCGCTCCCATCAGAGAGCAGAACACATCTTAAAGAACTTGCAACAGGAGGAAGAGAAGAAACGTCTTGGTAGAGAAGCCAGCCTCATCACCGCCATCCCCATCACCCAGGAGGCTTGCTATGAACCCACCTGCACACCCAACTCAGAACCAGAAGAAGAAGGTGCCCTCTATACATGGGACTTCTTGGGGGGCTCAGTCTCAGGGAATGAAAAGGACTTGCTTTGAAATAAACATTTCTGTGATATAAGGTGATATGCACCCTCTTTCTCTCTTACCTCCTGACACTATCCAAAGAAAGAGGAGGGAAGTTGTTCTTTTCTTAATTGCTAGAGTTGGCTTGTTTACAGAGGAGGAAGTTAGTCACATTGAATGAACCAATATGATAATGAACCAAGAAGTGATTATGATTCAGAGAACAGCTAAATCCAGAGTGTATATTGAAGTGAATGCAATCAATCCTTCATCATTAAAAATGGGGTTAGTCCATTTTAACTATCAACCTTGACAAATGCAGCCAATTTGTTGGTTGGTATCAGAAAATAATTTATGAACTATTCTAATTAAGTGATTCTCTGCCCAGCTTTTGTAGAATCTATGGGACAAAGTTTCTGCCTTTCTTTCTAAAATATTTTTTTCCATTCATAAGTACACTCTAACTTACTTAAGCCTTATGCTCTGAGAGCAGTATACACCTGTGATGTAAGTACAGCTATAGTTGTGATGATGATGACTTTTTTGTTACAAAACCAAAGGTTACATTCCTCATTTTCTTTGCCAGTAGAAGAAGTCACCAATCTGGCATCCCGTCGACTGTCTGTGAGTCCATCCTGTACCTCCAGCACTTCCCATAGGAATTATTCCTTCCGCCGAGGGTCAGTCTGGTCTGTGCGTTCAGCTGTCAGTGCCGAAGGTGTGTCCTCTTAGAAATTTGTTATTTATTGCTTATGACTTGTGTGTGTTTTGAAACATTTTCCAGTTAACATTATTATTATACTTCACCACACTGTCTTCATTAAATAACTTGTTTTATGACTCAAAGTTCAAAAAATAAATATTAGATTAAGTGGTACTCTTCTTTTTTTTTTTTTACCCAGCAATTTACCCTTTATAAATTGGCTCTATTTTAACTACATTATAAGTAATCATATTGCTGATGGGTTTCATCCCTGGCTACACATTACAATCAACTGATGAGCTTTAAAAAAAATACCCAGGCCACACCCAAGATCAAATCAGAATTTCTAAGAATGGGACCCACACATCAGTATTTTTAAAATCTACTCGGGTGGAGATTCCAATGAGTGGCCAAGACCCACTAGAATGCTATAGGATGCTGTTCTGGATAATTGAAAAATCAAAGGAAGACCACAGCTCATTACTTCTATAATGAAATCTGATTCCAGGGGGGAAATGTGATATCCTTCAATTCCAAGAATTTAAAAAGTATGTTTTCTCTACTCATGAATAACTGTCTGGGACTCACTGCCTCATGGTAACATAAATTTCATTACTGATTTATAAAGTTATTGGAAAGTTGTACAGAAACCAGTGGTTCTCAACCCTCAGCTGCACAACCCTCAGGAACTTCAAAAATGACCGATGTGGATTAATCACAACTTATAGGGATTGAGCCAAAGGCTCATTTATATTTTTTATCACAGATATAATTTTCTTGAGATATGATTCATGTACCAAAAATATTCACCCTTTTGAAGTATACAATGCAATGGTTTTTAGTATATTTATAGAGTGTGAATAGAATGATGATTATCACCTCTCATTTTAGAATATTATCACATCCAAAAAGAGACGCTATGCCCATTAGCAGTTGTTCCTCATCCACACTTTCTCTAACCAGTGGCAATAAATAATCTATCTCCCATTTTTATGGATTTGCTTTTCCGTACATTTCATATAAATGGAGTCATATAATATATGGCCTTTTGAGACTGGATTCTTTCACTCAGCACATTTTCAAGGTTCATCCATGTTGTCTCATGTATCAGTTCTTTGTCCCTGGACAATGTTCCATTATATAGATATACCACATTATTTATAAATTCACCAGTTAGTGGACATTTATTTCCACTTTCTGACTATTATAAATTATACTATTACGAACAGTGATGTACAAGTGTAGGGTACACTGCCAAGCTATTTTCAAGATCAGTTGTGTCATTTTACATTCCTTCCAAAAAGTATGAGAGTTCTGATTACTCCACATACTTGAATAATCAAAACCATCTTGGAAATGAAGAACAAAACTGGAAGACTCACATTTCCCAATTTCAATACTTACTGTAAAGCTGTAGTCATCAATACTGTGTGGTATTGACTAAAGATTGACAGTAAATCAATGGACTAGAATTGAATGACTAGAAGTAAACTATTACATTTATGCCGCTGTCATGTTTAAAAGGGCACCACGAAACCTCAATAAGGAAAGAAGAGTCTCTTCAACAAAGGGTGCTGAGGCACCTAGATATCTATAACCAAAAGGATGTTAAATAAGCAAGCTTTGAACTGAGAAATGTTGCACTGGGATTACAATGCTGAGAAAAGCCCTCCAATGATGTCTCTCTCTTCAGATGAGGAGCACACTACTGAACACACACCAAACCACCATGTGCCTCAGCCCCCCCAAGCAGTGTTCCCAGCATGCATCTGTGCAGCCGTGCTGCCCATTGTTCATCTAATGGAGGATGGTGAGGTGCGGGAAGATGGCGTAGCAGGTATAGCTTTGACTAGTAAACCCATCAATAACTCTCACAAAACACTGAAGCTGTTATCTGATGGAGGACAGTAGGATGCTTTCGAAGACATTAACTACTGGTCACATGTTGATTTGTTTTATGTACAAACTACAATTACAGATTTGTAGTATACTATACTAACATGATCACTGTCTTCATCTCCTTGTCCCACTAACTTTATGACCAAGAAGTTGCATTTGAAATACATACTTGGGTCTAGGAGTATTATTTACGACTAGAAAACTGAATAACACTTATTTGACCCCGTGGACATCAGATGGCAATTCCGGCCACGTTGGAAATCTTAGCTATTGGCTTGACACCACCGATGCCATCTGTCCCACTTGATTACCTTTCCAGAGGTACTAATCTAAAGACAATAATTGCAAAATGAAATGATAAACTATGGGTATAGATGAGTAACATTTGTGACAGATAACAGGTTGATATTTCTAATGTTATTAAAAAACCCATAGAACTCAATAATGATGTTTTTAAAGCCCAACAGAAAAACGGTCAAAGGATATAAATACATGGCCCAATGGCCAATAACATCTGTAAGCAACATTGTTGTTTAAGACAACAATAGAAACTTTATATTTCAGCCAAAAAATTGCAAAGCTTTTTAAAATTTTATTATGTTTTTATTTGAGTATAGTTGACATACGATGTTATATTACTTCCAGGTACACAACATAGTGATTCAACTTTTCTGTATGTTATGCTATGCTCAAGTACAGCTACCGTGAAAAAATTATTCTAAATGAAAATACCCATAGTTGGTAAAGATTCAGGGAAAAAAGAAAACTCACACCTTGCTGATGGGAATATAGAATTCAATACAAGCATTCTGGGAACAAAGTTTCACAATAGGTGTCAAAAACCTTAAAAGTGTGAAAGCTCTTTGATACAGATTTTGACTTCTAGCAATTTCCTAGGGCAACGAGGGCTATATAAGGGTCTTTATAGGTTTCTGCTTATTGTACATTATTTAAAATAACAAATATTTGAGAAGAGTTTAAATTTCCAGCAAGCAATTAGTTAGACATGGTACCTCCATATGCACATTAGAAATAACATTCTAGTAGAATATTAACATTAAGTTTTTAATATATTGCTAAGTAAAAAACTGAGTGCCAAGGAATATTTTCTACATATTATTTAAAACTACATGTAAATAAAAATTTCACGTGTATGAGAGGACATATTGCAAAATGTTTATAAGTTGTTTCTATGATTTGTAGTCTTACTGTCAGCTGTCTTTCTCTGTATTTTTCGTGTTTTTAAGTGTTAAATTGCCCTACTTCAGCAATTAGAATAAAAATAATATGCTAAGATAGTTTTGCAACCAGTTTTGACCTAAGAAAAACCTACACCTATTTTAATTATTTATAAAGACACACAGAAACTAAAGCTTATATTTACATATCTCTTGTTCATATTATTTATTTATATAGTCCATACTTTTAATTGGAAGGTTAGTTTCTGATGCAAAAAGATGGTATCATTTATTCAAAATATAGACCAAACGACACATTCATGCTGAATTCCATATTTATAGTTTAGAACACTAAACTAATTAAACCATTTAGACTCAAGATCATCTAGTGCTTATCTACCACTCACTTCTACCCACCTGCTTTCCTAGCTTGGGCACTTCCAGGCAGTCTTGGCCTGATTGTTTTCCCCAAAGTAGTAGAAGCACTTTCTTCACATCAGGAATAATTATTTATTCCTAAGACATCCTCATAGAAGTGGGAACCTAATTACCACTGGCTTAACTACTTCATCTCACTAAAGGAGATACTATTTAAAGCACTCACATGAACAGTAAAAGATCATCTCTAATTCATATGCATTATAAACCAAAACACATTTTCTAAGAACCGAATAATTACTTTAGAAATTTCTCCATGCAACCAATATTAAAATATGACTTTAATTTGACAAATATTTATCACTCCTAAAATTAGGGTAATTTCCAAAACAAAGATTCACTAATGTAGTCTTTCTTTTTATTTTATTCATTTTTTAAAATGTTTATTTATTAATATATTTTTGAGAGAGGGAGGGAGAGAGAGAGAGAGCAAGGAAGGGCAGAGAGAGAGAGGGAGAAACAGAGAATCTCAAGCAGGCTCCGTGCTGTCAGTACAGAGCCTGACACCAGGCTTGATCTTGCAAACTGAGATCATGACCTGAGCCGAAATCCGGAGTCGGGTGCTTAAACAACTGAGCCACCCAGGCATCCCTCTTTCCTTTTAAATTGAGATATAATTGTCATATAGCATTGTATTAGTTTTAGGTGTACAATATAATACTTTGATATATGTGTATGTTATGAAATGTTACCACAATAAGTTTAGGTAATACCCATTACCACATGTAGTAACAATTTTTATCTTATAATGAGAACTTTTAAAAGATACTCTCTTAGTAACCTCCAAATAAGCAATACAGTATTGTTGACTCTAGTCACCATGCTGTATATTACCTCCTCAGGATTTATTTGTCTTATAATCAGAAGTTTTTACCTTTTGACCACCTTCAAACATTTACCCTACCCCCTCTTTTGGGAATCACTAATCTGGTCTCTGTATCTGTGAGTTTGGTTTATTTTAGATTCCACATATAAGTGAGATCATACAGTATTTGTCTTTTTCTGTCTGAATTATTTCATTGAACATAATGCCCTCAAAGTCCATCTTCATTATCACAAATGGCAAGATTTCTCTCTTTTAAGGCTGAATGATATATCACTGTAAATCACAAATGTATTCTTTACAAAAGCAATTCTAAAATCTAAAGACCACCCTATACTTTTTCGTTACCTTTTCTTTATAGGTGAAAATGTTCAGAAACAAGTAACAATGAGAACAAATACCTACCTTTCAACAGAAAAAGTGTTTACAGAACATTGTTAAGGCAAAAAAAAAGATACTAATTAAAATCTTAGTAAATTGTTTGAATAGTTTATCTAATACTTTATTTAAGACAAATGCTCAATGTCTTCTCTCTTCTGAAGTGAGTGCTGTGGCCCAACAAGTCTTATGGAATTGTCTAATTGAAGATCCATCGACAGTTCTTCGACATTTTCTGGAAAAACTGACCATCAGCAATAGACAAGTAAATTCTTCTTTCTTTGTAGTATAGCTGTGTAGCACTGTGGGTGAACACTGTTAAAAGCAAACAATGGATTTCATAGTGCTATGCATAGAACATCAATTTCTGATACACAGCAAATAAGTTCTTTAGGAAATGGTAATGATGAGCGTACTAAACCTTGCTGTTTTCTTTCAAATTTGTCCATCGACTGATGTCTCCATTTGTGTTTGGTGCACTGGTAGTGATGAACCTAAGTTACTGAAAGATTTTCAGTCTTTTAAGCAAAGATTAAATTCAGTATAGTGTTCCTAGTAATGAATATATTTATTAAATTCTGATCACTTAGTAGTCTGTGATACAGGTGGGATTATTAGAATATGTTGAAACTATCCATTAATCAAGACAATCTAATTCAGCAGGCCACCTGTGTAAAAAGATTATGACAAATAAAGTAGTTTTCTGAGCAATGGCAAAACACACTGATGATTAAAAGTATTTGTTCATTTCTGTGTTATGGTCTTGTTCTATAGAAGATCAAGTTTAGTTTCTGAAAGGTAAGGTGACTTACAGACATCTCTATTTATTCCCTCTTGACCTAACTTTATCTCTTTGACTCAAAACCTGGGAAGCAGACCTGTGAAGTCCATGAAACCGTATATATTTAATGGTATCTCAAGATAGGTCTGCCTGACATTTGCATCACACCTGGAAGTCATAGCAAATAGAATTGGCTAAATATATACCTTTCCTGTGATTTGTCTGTGACCTATAGACACGGTCTAACTTTTTATTGAAAAAAAAAAAAAAGAAAGAAAAGAACTTGTCTAACTACTGCTCAGTTATTTCAGATTGGCTCCTAAGAAAGGTGTTACTGTTGGCTTAAATACTGTTTAATAAGTATCACATACACTATATTAAAATGCTGAACATAATGGAAATCAACATGAGGGAAAAGCAGGAACCTCCCCCACTTTTTAAGAAGTTAAATTTATGTCCTACAGCATGGTAGCTGAACGAGATGTAGACATTCTGTTCTTCTTTCAGGATGAGTTAATGTACATGCTGCGCAAACTTCTCTTAAATATTGGAGACTTTCCTGCCCAGACATCTCACATCCTATTCAACTACTTGGTGAGTTTCAGCCTCCAGTAAGTTGTAAATGTTCATTTCCAATTAGGAAGCAGCAACATGAGGAAAAATTCATAGGAAACTTTTTCAATAACCCCCCCCCATTAATTATGTGACTGGAGGTAAACCATGGTCAGCTAAATTCACCCCTGTTTGTATAGGGAAGCCCCTCCTGACACTCTGCTTGGCATGTAGTAAGTACTCAATAAACATCCATTTCATCTCTGCCTTCCTTTGGCACTATACAACTTCCTTATGTTGCTTCTTAGTTTGGGTTTTCTGTTGTGAAAACTTATATGTCATTTTAGTCATTTTTCCCTTTTTCTATCTTGCTTTTTAAAACACACACACACACACACACACACACACACACACACACACAGAGGCAAATAGTTGCCCTAGATGGAAAGTATCTGTGAGTGTATTTTTCCATAGTGACTATCTTTGCTTTAAACCATCCTGACAGCTCCTTCCTGAACCCTCCAGAATTTACCAGTTTCTTTAGGATGTTACTCCCTAAATGAATATGCAGTTTTGGGGTGGTTAGCCTGATGCCTGTTCTTTGAAACTGCACCTTAATCCAGAGAGACAGATAGCCAAGTGAATGTCTGCATTGGGGGAACTTCATTCTCCCTCACTGTTGTCAGTCTTCTAGCAGGTAGGGAAATAGAAGCGGAATCCAAATGCATCTGCAGCGAAATGATAAATTTAACATTACAGCTCCTCTGTGCAGAGAAAATTTGTAATCCCTTTCTCTTTTCTATGACTGATTTGGTTTTCCTCATGAGTGCCCACCAGCCGGGTGACAAGGGAAAGAATATAAATAAGTGTCCAAATCCACTTTTAAGTTCAGACTGATAAAAATGTATAAATGGTAACTTTGGATAGCATTCGGTCTTTCCTGGCTAAAAAAAACCCCTAGGAATCCTATTTTTTTTCCAACTTCTTTCGTCTGTAAACACTATGTGGAGTTGGAAAGAAAAAAGACCTTTGTTGTTGGAAGGTGGAGGAGGGACAGTATCCTCCAGACTGAGGCCCTTTGATATGGAAAAATGAAGCAAGCCACTCCATTTTGTTCACACAGAATTTACCCGGGGTAACTTACTGACGGCGGTGGGGGGGTGGGGGGGAGATGGAACAGACGCCAATCCAAGTGCTATGCAGCTATTTTCCATGAAGTCCACACCATCATCTAGAGCTTTTATATAGAGCAAGGGCAAGGAGGTGAAGTGAACAGGTAGTTATCTAAAGTGGTACCATCTGTGCACCAGAAGGAAGCTCAGAACAAGCTTTCCTGCATTCTGGTCAGGGCATACATTAACCTCCAAGGGACCTGGAACATGTAGCCCCAAGGAAAATTACTGCATGAACACAAACAAGATGGAAGGGCAAAATCAGAGTGAGTATTCTCAGCACTCCTACTTTCGTTCAGCATTCTATCTATTATTCAACATTTGCTCCGGCTCCTCCCTTTGTGAGACAGCATTCTTTATCTGGCTGGTTGCTAGATGCCTGGCTAGTAGAAACCAATGCCCATGGTTGCTATGACTTGGGTCCTGTGGGCTCCACGTGGTGCCTGCTGAGAGACAACCTCACCTCGGCTCCTGCTGGTGCTATACACACCTCTAAGTTCTAGTTGCATGTCCCAGATGGCTCCAGCTTAGAAAAGCCGCTGACTGGTGCAGTATGCTCGGTGACATCAGTCTGTGGCAATTCTATCCAGAAAGCTTTCCAGCCAAACTTTATGCTACTTCTTGGTCCTGTCTACACCACGCAAAAACCAAAGGTAGGTTATTAAAGTCAAATGTCAGGGCCTTCCTCAGTTTAAGTATGTGACCTATCATGTGGCATCCGGGTGCTATCGAAAGGCCCTGAATTGAACCTTTGCTAGAGACCCAAAGACTGGAAGCAAAAGCCCCTTCAGGTGTCTGCCCATTCCCTTGGGTCACTGGGTAGGGGGGATACTTACCAGGACCATTGCTCTCCATTGTCTTTTAGCGCTGGGATAAGAAGATGGACATTCATTTCTGTTTTTGCCATACTCTCTTCTGTCAACAGAAAATAAACCTTATTGGCCCACAAAGGTGCTCCCAGCTAGGTAACTGACTAGGTCAGTTAATAAAGAATAGGCCTGGCAACACTTTGGCTTTGCTGTATAATCCTATTGTACTTGAATATAAATTCTTGTTTTTGCATTTCTCTCTAAACCCTAATCTTTCCCCAAATCCCAAGCACATGGATGCCTTGAGTGGACTATAGAATAGGTCTTATACTTAGAACAGCAAAACAGTGAAGGGCAGAGTCATTTTTAAACCATTACCCTTATTATATATCTCTTTTCTCTAATGACTATTAAGGATGTGTATAGTGGGGATGTTGGGACCACTGACCCATCTCTTCCAGACTTTGTTAGAGACATTTCACTGCTTAACTTTGACCCATTGATCTTCACCCGGGGTTTGAGCACATTTGGGAGCAGGGGATGTGAAAACTTTCAAAGGGATTTGGTGCCCAGATAGTTTTAAGGGAATAAATCTCCAAATCTTCAATTTACAAATATGCACTAACACTTCTTCAGTATGTCTGCCCTCTCAACCACTGTTCCTCTGCAGGCTCACCCTGACCATCCCCAATACCACCAGACTGCATTGACAGATACATAAGAGAAAGAATCGAATGTGCTTCATGAGTTTTAGAGAAGCCTCATTTCTGATGGATCAAGGCACTTTAAACCCATAGGACTTCCTGTCTTTTTCCTGTCTTTGGTAGATTTCTACTAGAGACGAGGTTTGGCCCTCATTCGGGTGTTTAGCCTACAGAACCGTCAAAGCAATTTTAGGTTAGTGACACCATAGGCTGATTCTTTCAAAATAACTAGCAAGTTTTCTAAGATTAAGAAATTTTTCAGGAAACAATAGAAAAAGCCACAGTGGGGAAAAAATTTTACATAATTTCTTTATGATTTTTTGTGCACTGTTAAATAGGGTAGTTAAAACTTCTTTCATCAAATTTGTGGAAATACATATTCCAATATAGAAAATCCTCCCTTTATTTCAATGTATAGAGTGTTTAACATATTCTACTCCTATTAACAACAAAAAAATTACCTTATGATGAAACATTTTAAGTGTAAATTTAAACATGCACCAAAGGACACAGAGCTTTTCAAGATTTTAGGTGACAAGAACAAAAAACTCTTAAGTTCACCATTTAGCCAAGCAGAGTGTTCATTGGTTCAGACTGTTAGATATAATCCAAGCTGCAAATACTGTTTGGGCAAACATCATGTAGAGATTAATTTGGGGTGGCCTCAGTACTTGAGCTACCAAGGGACCTGAAGCCTGGAAAAACAATCTTCTGCTTTCCTCTTGAGAAATCACCATCTTAGTGATACACAAAAATATATGGCAACCTGTTCTGGTTGGTTTTCCAGTTATACCCTCTCTTGCTTATGACCATTGAAAGTATTAGAGGACCTGTTGAGCAGAGAATATGAAGGGACAAAAGAACATTTAATTAAGGAAAGAAAAGCCAAGGGAATGAGAATGTTTGCTCAGGATTACTGTGGCTTTGTGACCTCTTCCTGTTCTCTTAGGTGGGATTAATCATGTACTTTGTGCGGACCCCCTGTGAGTGGGGGATGGATGCCATTTCAGCCACTCTGACTTTCCTGTGGGAGGTGGTGGGCTACGTGGAGGGCCTCTTCTTCAAGGATCTGAAGCAGACCATGAAGAAGGAGCAGTGTGAGGTAAAGCTCCTGGTGACTGCTTCCATGCCAGGTAATCTGCTACTGCTTTGGGTGATATAACTTTTTTTTTTTTTTAAGAGTATAAATAACCCGTTTAAAGACCAACCGTCTCTCTCATTCATGAGAAAATTTTCAGAGTCCTGACCCCGGTGTTGAGTGCATCAAAGAATTTTTGTTTAATACGATCTGAAGAAATACAATAGACCCTTTAAAAGTCTGCAATTGCCAGATGAAAGGGGAGACATCAGAACTAAGATCCACGTGAATCAGCCCTTGAAGGGCTGCCAAGGTTGAAGATTTATTTAAGTCTATCGCAGAGGGCCAGTTGCACAGAGAGCCTTTTTGAATGAATGTTTGGCACTGCAAGGGGAATAATATTGTTTGCATGGCATGGACCCCAGATCTTTGTAAAGTGTATGAGAGGTGGCTTTATGAAAAATTGGAAAAGGGACAAGCAGGAAGAAGGAGAAGAACAAAAGAACATGAAGTGTGATGTAAACTCTAGCTGCAGCTCCTTTTCGCTTTGGATAGCTGTTTTTTGTTCAAGATACGAATTCTGCCAAGTCTTTATCCTGGTGCAGTGACTAAGGAAATATGAGATGATACGTGTATTAGAATTAAGAGAAAGACAAAATTATATCGAGATAAGAACACAGGGTATGGCAGGCCATGAAAGTCATGTTGCTGCCATGTATTATTTGTACAATTAATATTAGCTAGGAAAAAGTGCATCACCTTTTCAGGCTGTCTTTACTCGTGTGTAAAATAAGGATGTGATTCATCATTCACAATCACCAGTAATCAATGAGTCTAGGTAGGTAAAACACGTGCTGTCGTAACTGACTCACAGCAAGCATTCCATAATGCTTGTTATCCCACAAAGTGATCAGTTTTTATTATAGCAAAGAAACTCATATTGTCATTCATATACTTAAAAACAGCTCATTAAAAATCAAGGTATTGGGGCGCCTGGATGGCTCAGAAGGCAAAGCATGTTGCTCTTAATCTCAGTGGTCATGAGCTTGAGCCCCAACGTCAGGTGTAGAGATTGCTTAAATAAATAAACTTATAAAATAAATAAATAAATGCCAACATTCATTAAGAAAATAAAAATAAGGGGCGCCTGGGTGGCGCAGTCGGTTAAGCGTCCGACTTCAGCCAGGTCGCGATCTCGCGGTCCGTGAGTTCGAGCCCCGCGTCAGGCTCTGGGCTGATGGCTCAGAGCCTGGAGCCTGTTTCCGATTCTGTGTCTCCCTCTCTCTCTGCCCCTCCCCCGTTCATGCTCTGTCTCTCTCTGTCCCAAAAAAAAAATAAATAAACGTTGAAAAAAAATTTTTTTAAAAGAAAATAAAAATAAAAGTCAAGGTATATCATAATGTTTGCAAAGACTTATAATGAATGAATGAAGTAGAATAAGTATTAACTCAGAGCCAAGTAGAATTGAGAAAATGTAAATTTAAACTACATTTTGGAAACTTGTCATGGTTTTGCTCATATCTCTTGTTTATATTTTTTCAACCATTATTGCAAGATCATCTCATTTAAAATAAGGGATATATTGTTGCAATGCTTAATGTTTGAATGCTAACTCTTCTACTAAATAAATGTGTCTTTGTTACTTATACGTTCTTACTTGTAAGAATCTATTTTCTTTGTTTTCTTATTTGTAGAATGAAAATAATAATACCCATACCATAGGGTTGCTGTGAGATTTAAATATAATTTTGCATATAAAATACATGTAAAGTTATCAGGAATTCCATAAATGGTAGCTATTGTTATTTAATAAGTAAATATTGTTTACATTTTTTTCATGCTTATTTATTTTGAGAGAGACAGAGACAGAACACAAGCAGGGTGGGGCAGAGAAAGAGGGAGAGAGAGAATCCCAAGCAGGCTGTGTGCTTCAAGGGCAGAGCCCCATGTGTGGCTCGATCCCACAAAACGTGAGATTATGACCTGAGCTGAAATCAAGAATTGGACACGTAACTGACTGAGCCACCCAGGTGCCCCTGATAAATAAATATATTTATAACATATATTTAACTATAAAGGAGTGATATTTGTTCAGTGGATAATTTACCTTAAGCACTCACTAATAGTAACAATCATAACAAGAAAAACATCAGCCTATTGATAATATTTTAATATTTTATGCCTTAAATATAAACTTTCTTATAGCAGAGTTCAGTTTATTATTGTGTTTGCCTTCTATAGGTACCAAAACCTTGGTAGTTCATGGACAGAATGAGTGTGATATCCCAACCCAGTTACCAGTCCATGAGGACACTCAGTTTGAAGCCCTGCTAAAGGTAGGGATGGCTTTGGACAGAAATGATTTTTTTCTAATGTTTATTTTTTTTTTAATTTTTGAGAAAGAGACAGAGTGTGAGCAGGGGTAGGGTGGGGGGCAGGGCAGGCGGGGAAAGGCAGAGAGAGAGGGAGACACAGAATCCCAAGCAGGCTCCAGGGTCTGAGCTTTCAACACAGAGTCCAGCGTGGGGTGGAACCCATGAACTGCGAGACCATGACCTGTCGAAGTTGGATGCTCAACCAACTGAGCCACCCAGGCACCCCGACAGAAGTGATTTTTTAATGCACAATGTCTACAACTATGGCTACTGACCACCCAGTTTAGAATTAAGTGGCATTTTTCTGTCTTCAAATGAATATATGCATTTATTTATCTCTGGTAGAATCTGTTCCACTATTGTGTACTTCCCCTATTTTCTTGCATAATTTCCCCCCACACTGACATTTTTGCTCTGCATTGAGGTGCAAATGCATGCAGGTTCTCTCTCAGCTAAAGCAGCAGCCCAAAACTCTAGTGTGTCCTCCTAACTCCCCTTGGAATGCTGTCTCTTCCTGCTTAGAAGCTTCCTGGCATCACTTGGGGTAGTGCTGGAGGTGCCCTGGGTTTGCCAGCTCTCAGGCTGATGATCCTGCCACAGAAAGGGTCTCTAGTTGCGTGGATCCAGTCTGACTTGCACTGACAGAAATTAGTGGAGAGGCAGAAAACACATATCTGAGAATAAATCAGGTGGGTCAAGAAAGTAGTTTTAATGATTATGGAGATTGTGCTCCTCCAAAAAAAGGCAATCCATGGTTACACATGCCTGTAAAGTTTTTAAGATAAGGTAATAAATAAACTACTACAGCCATTCCCAACTTACCTGGATTCCAAACTTTTGGTAATCTGATTTCCTGGAACACCGCTCCAGACCCAGACATAAGCAGAAAAGGCCTCTGAAAAATTCAGTTGTACCAAACCTGTATTTCTTATTTCAGTACAAAGGGTCATTAAACCTCCTCAGGCCTCACCCAGACATCTCCAGAGAATTTCTAAGGCCTAATGGAGCAAACTTCAGCAACCACTCCGTTTTCCAACTCACACTGAATGACAGAGTAGCATGAGGGCAGAGTAAGTCCAAAGCCTGATTCCACTAGAACCAACAGGTCCTACATCAAACAGGACCTCTCTGGGCTCGGATTCTTTTTCACCAGTACTGGCACACTAGTGAAGTCATACAAGTTGTCTACATGGAAAGCATTGAACTTAGAATACACTATATAATAATTGCTCAATGAATTGTAGTTTCTATTATGTTTAATGGTGTCACTAAACATGCTTTCTTCCTGACATTGAGACCAGTAGATGCCAGTATGCCTCCACAGTTCACTACTCCATCTGAATTTTTAATTGTATATCTTTTAGCGCATGGAGGGCAGATGGTTTATATTATATGACTAGGCTTTATTGTATCATTCTTCGGAACTGTATATCCAAATCCAATGTGTATCCATATATATACATATAAAAAGTATATTAGATATAATAATCCTTGTAAGCCGTTAGGATATTTGTATCTTTCAGCTTACTACCTGGCACATAATATGTTCCGGGTTAACATTTATTTATATTTGTTGTTATTGTTCTAGGAGTGTCTGGAGTTTTTTAATATCCCAGAATCTCAGTCAACACATTATTTTCTCATGGATAAACGGTGGAATCTTATCCACTACAATAAGGTGAGACCATGCAGTAATGGCACTCATGTTGACTTATGTCAGGAACTTGTCATGCCTTTCCTGAATGTCCCTCTCACTCAGGGAGGTATCGCTGTTTAGAGGTTAGGAATATGGTCACTTAGGTGACACCACCTTACTGTCAGCATAGCTTTGGACTAGTCATGGTACCTTGTTACCTTTCATTTTCCTTGTCTGTAAAATGAAGATGATGATGATATTATCTACTATAGTTTGCAATAATTAAAGGATATAAGGCAAGTAGAGCACTATGTTACTCATTACTATCACCTCTTGATGAAAAATTAAGTTGCCCATATAATAACTATGGTCTATTTGGAATGCTAAAGTCATTGTTGTTCCTCTTTCTATTATGTTAAGCATGACTGTGATAACCTGACCTAATGACCAAAAGGGCTCCTCAAGAAGATCATTGACATCACTTTACAGTGACCATCCTCCAGAATGTCATTTATTAAATTGCCTTTGGCTCCTCTGCTCCTGATGCAGCACCCTTGTGTTTGGAAAGGGTGCTAAGCCTAAATGGTTTGACACATTCCTGAGGAGGGGGGTTTATCTTCCCTGGGATTTTATAGAATTGGGAAGCATAAAGTGATTAAACCATTATCAAATACATAGCTTTCTTTGACCTTTGGGTAAAGAGGAAATGACAGTAAAGTTTTAATCATTTGAACTCTTGTTTTCTCTTTGTGTAATCCTGCCACAGACCTATGTTCGGGATATTTATCCTTTTCGGAGGTCAGTATCTCCACAGCTGAATCTTGTACATATGCATCCAGAGAAAGGACAGGAGCTCATTCAGAAACAGGTGCCTGACCATCTCTGTTTAATTATATGGTTTTGTCAAGTCATTGGGATAGATGATCAGTAAATGTGTTTGTTGCCAACCCTGAGATTCTATGATTCCAATGCAATCCTCTCTAGAGAGAGTTGATAGATAGGCCCTTGATCAATAATTCCCCAAAATACTGTGTTAGTTTTCATAAATGGGATTATAATGGAGAGGTATTAAGGAACACTCAGTTGGATTAATACTATAACAAATTGTTGGGTATAAACATTACAAATTTTCTTCTTTTATTTTTTTTAAGGTTTATTTATTTTTGAGAGAGAGACAGACAGACAGAACATGAGCAGAGGAGGGGCAGAGAGAGAGAGGGAGACACAGAATCTGAAGCAGGCTCCAGGCTCTGAGCTGTCAGCATAGAGCCCGATGTGGAGCTCGAACTCATGAACCGCAAAATAATAACCTAAGCCACAGTCAGATGCTTAACCGGCTGAGCCACCCAGGTGCCCTACCACTAGAAATCTAATTTATTTACCTACTAGTTTCCAAGTTTTCTTTTCACAGTTTTGTAAAACAGGATTGGAAGCACACATAATGTAGCTATTAGAAGTTTGCCCGAGATGTTTACACTAGCTGGGAAAAAATAAAATAAAAGGGACAAATGTATTATGCTTGAGAAAAGCACTGAACTAAGGTATACAGATTTGGACACAGTCATAGCTCTGCCACTGACCAGTCATCTGACCTTAGGCATGTTACTAACTTCCCTTAAAACAGGAGGAAATGTAATCAAGCAGTTGTACTTATATTTAAGATTGAAGACCAGAATAAGGAAATTCACTAGTTTGCATGCAAAATATTGCTACAGTCCACAATTCTAATAATGATACAATTTTAATACAGTCTATATGTTACATTCACTTATTTGTAATAAAATGTCTAAACCAGAATTTCAGGATAATTTATCATTTCAGGTTTTTTGCACATATCAAGATCAATTTGGCATCAGACTGTTCAAAAATACCTTCATGAAATGAATGAGAATGGTACAGAGTTAGACCAATTAAATAATTAAAAATACAGTTAGCATTGGGGCATCTGGCTGGCTTACTGGAGCATGCAACTCTTGATCTCGGGGGTTGTGAGTTCAAGCCCCACATCACGTGTAGAGATTACTTAAAAATAAAAAATAAATAAAAAATAAAAAAAATACACATACACACAAACACACATATATGAGTTAGTATTAACTACCTGAATTGTGAATGTGTTACAAAATGTGAGGTGTTGGGTAAAACTGCAAGATCTTTTTTTTTTTATTTTAATATGAAATTTACTGTCAAATTGGTTTCCATACAACACCCAGTGTTCATCCCAAAAGGTGCCCTCCTCAATACCCATCACCCACCCTCCCCTCCCTCCCACCCCCATCAAC